CAGGGTCCCAAAGCTTTGGCTCATCTTCTTTTGCATTCCCAGACTATAAGCAAGGAGCTGGTTCGAAAGTGGAGCAGCCAGGACACGAACTGGCACCCAGATGTGACCCTGGCGCCTGCAAAGTGAGGATTTCGCCATTAAGTCATCATGCTGGACGCACAATCAATTCTTAAAAGAAGAAAATTACATTTTGTGGCTCAAGTAACAGGGTTGTTGCTTCCCACGCCGAAGGTCTAGGTTAAGTTTCTGGGCTTTGGTGTAGCCCAGCCTTAATCATTATGGCATTTAGGGAGTGAACTGGCAGACGGCTCTTTTTGTCTCTGAAATAAATAAGCAAAGATTTATATACAGAGTTCACCACATAACTGTTCCTAAATATATAGTTCAGTGCTGTTAAGCATTCATATTATTGCACCACTGAACTCTACAATTTTGAAATGGACCAAGTGTGACTGTGAAAGGTGTGTTAAAGTGCTGCTTGGGACACCAGAGGGCTTGGGTTCAAGTCCTGTGCTTCCAGTCCAACTTCCTGTACCCCGGGAGGCAGCAGGCAGTGGCTCCGGGACTCGGTTCCATGCTAACCACACAAGACACCTGGAGTTCCCAGTGGCTGGTGGGCCTGTCTCAGTCCTGGCTGTTTGCAGCTATTTGGGGGGGGGGGATCAGCAGTTGGAACATTTCTTTATGACTCTTTCAAAGTTGTGGGTTCAAATTCTGGCTGTTCCATTTCCTGTCCATCTTCCTGCTAATTCACATCCTGGGAGCATTGATAGCTCAGGACTTGGATCCCTGTCACCCACATGGAACACTCAGATTGAGTTCCAAATCTTTGCTTTCATTATTTTTTTTAATGTAAAATTTTATTTTGACAATCTTTACATAGTTAATTAGGGTAAGAAGGTTCAAGGGCTACAGGAAAGTAGATAAGACTAGTGTGTTTTTCATATTGTTACCTTCATGTTTAAAGGGGGGGGTACTAAGGGAGAAGGCCCACCCAATTTCCCACCCTCCCCAGGTCCCAGATGTAGGGCATGCTCTGAGGTTCTTGCTCAAGTGGTTTTGATATTGCAACAGTTATGAATTGCTGTCAATCTTGCCACTCCAAGCACTATGAGGTCTTTGAAAAATCCACTGATTGACATAGTCCATCATAGCTGAGATGGTTGGTTGACCTGTTCTGTCTTCTCTCTTTTCTTCGTTAGGGTTCTGAGTCCAGCATTTAGATTAGGAAGATCTCCAAAGAAACTTCTTGTATGTGCTAACAAGTACAGGGCCTGGCACCGTCCATCGCCCCAATCAGCTGGTGGTTGCAATTGCTGGGTTGGTTCTGTTTTCACTCCCGACTTCCACTGGAACCAATGGGTGTTGCAGTCCAGCCTGGTTCTGCCCAGCACAAACTTGGCCCTCACATAAACCAGTGGGAGCTGCAGCCTAGTTGGAGCAACCCACAATAATCCCCACCAGGCCTGCCCCCTACCCTGGTTTGCCAGTAAGTGTAGCAGTAATCCAGTCTGTCCCACACCCCATTCCACCCCAGCCACTATCTTAGTTTTATGTCCTCCCGTGGAAGTGGTAACCCAAGAGGGATGAGCCCACTATTTCCCTCCCAGGCCTCTCCCACTCCCAGATTCCAGCTGATGCTGTGGCTAAGCCCAAACAACCCTCACCCACTCTAATTTTGTTTGCACCAGTAGGAATAATCAGCCCAGCCTGGCTTTTCCCTGATTTAGTCCACATGAGGCGCACAGGTGTGGTAGCTCTGCCTAGTCTGGTCTGCCCCCATCCCAGCCCATGCTCTTCTGCGGAAGTAGCTGTTCAGCAAAGGAACCCTCCCTTATTCCCCTGCTGGCTCTGCCCACTTCCTTTCTTGTTCTCAGGCTGGTTGGGCGCTGCAGTCCCTTCTGGTACAGGCAACCTCATCTTGGCATTCCATATTGTGCACTAGTCTTTGTTGCGACTGAACCTGGGTCGACCCACACTGGTGCCTGGATTTGCCAGTGGATGATGTGGACAGATTCAGCCTGGTCTTGCCCCCACGTCTGCCAATTGTATGCCAGTGGGTAGCTTTCCATGGCCTTTTCTGGGCTGTTTCCTATCATGTTTCTTGTGCTGACCTGCCGGGTCTGTGTCCTGTCAGAGGAGTTGCCCAGGCTCCTCCATCAGAACCTCTCCCAATGCCAGGTTTCACGCTTACCAGTGGGTCCATGAGCCAACCCTACTCAGTCCACCTCCTGTCATGGCAGGAACTGTGGCTTTTCCTGACTGGCCTTCCACCCAATCTGGTTCTTGCTGGTGGATGTTCCAGCCCAGCCATGGTTTGTCCATACCCACATATAGCTCACACATGGCTCAGTAGGGGTTTGAGACCTTGCCTAGTGCATCACACATCTGCCCTGGTCCTCCAGGACACCAGAGGGTGTTGGAGTCTGACCCAGTTCGGTGTATCCAATCCCAGTCCACCTTGTGCCAAGGGAGACTACAACTGTTTCCAGATCAGAACGCAGCCCCCCCTTCCAGGCCACGCACCTCTTGGTGGGAACCTCAGCCCAGCTAGGGTTGTCCCCTTTGCTCCCCAACCGGGCCTGTTCCCAGCCATAGATGACTTGCCTGCCAGTGGATGCTCTGACTCAGCTTGGCACAGCCCCTCCCTTGTCCCGAACTCTGCCTTAGACACTGTGGCTTAGCGTCCCTGGCTCCCGCAGACCAGTAGGTACAAGAGCCTAGCTCGGCATGACCTCTGCTCCCTCCTGGTTTCTAGTTTTACTTGTGGGCTAAGGTTTGCTCAGTCGTGCCTGATCTACTCTGTTGCATTACCAGTTGACACATTAGCCAGCTGTTGGAGCTACTTTTGCAGGACAAGCCCCAAGCCATAGCTTCTCCATGGACTGGTATTTGGTGGTCAGTATTATTAGTGATTACAAGTTTTACAAAGGAAGAGTTACTGCCTGTTTCAGGTCCAAGAAGCACAATGGGTTCAACCTGGAGCTAATTAAGCAGCGACTCAAAGAACCAAATCCCCAGAGCTCCCCGGCTCACCATGTGTTCATGGTGGCTGTCCGGGATCCAGGCATGAGACGCCCCGTCCTGAGACCCACCAGGTCTTTGCCTTTAATAAGCCCTGGCTATTGAAAGCATTTGGGAGAGTTGAAACAGCAGGTGGGAAGTCTCTTTTCATGTCCCTGTCTGTCTTTTGAATAAGATTTGAATAAGATGAAAATAATTTAAAAAATGAAAATAAAACCCCTGAAACTTTAAAACAGTGATTTCTTTGGCCAACAAGTGCAGTCTTTATGAACCCCACAGCCAGCCTCCCGGACAGGACAGATGCAGTCTCTTGGAGGCCAACAGGGTCTGGCCTTGACCCTGATACACAGCAGGTAATCAACATCACATAGTGCTAGCCTCACAGAGCCAGTGCAGACCATCACGTGCAGAGGCTTTAACTAGCATCCTGGGCCTCCGAAGTCTGATCGGGAGGCTACCTCCTGGGGCTGCGGTAGCCTCCACCTCCTCGACCCACAGCGCAGAGCACCTCTGTTTGAATAAGGCAGTGAGGGTCCAGTGAGGGTGGTGGCCTAGCCCAAGAGTCCTCACCTTGAACACTCCGGTGGGATCCCATATGGGTGCCGGTTCTAATCCTAGCAGCCCCGCTTCCTATTCAGCTCCCTCTTGTGGCCTGGGAAAGCAGTTGAGGATGACCCAAAGCCTTCAGTTCCTGCACCCATGTGGAAAACCCTGAAGAAGCTCCTGGTTCCTGGTTTTGGATCAGCACAGCTCTGACTATTGTGGTATCTTGGGGAGTGAATCATTGGGTGAAAGATCTTCCTCTCTGTCTCTCTTCTATGTATATCTGACTTTGTATTAAAAAAAATCTTTAAAAATAAACAGATAGATAGATATATATATGGAGAGATAGCTAAAGAAGGCGGTGAAGCCAACCACCATTGTTCCAGCCGACATGCATTGGGCATGATAGCATGTGACAGGCCCCACTTGTCTTAAGCCACTTAATCCTTGCCATGAAAGTTAACGTTGCCATTATCATTATCCCCTTTTATAGATGAGCATATAAAGCTTGACAAGTTTGTTATGTAAATAAAGGTCCCACATAAAGGGATTAATTTGAAACATACTTCCACTAATCACAAGTTTGGGAAAAACCTGATTTAAAGCTCTTTGACTTTTATGCATCGGGAAGTGACACCCAGCAAAAGGGCGGCCTTTTGTTTGTTTCCTGGATGCCTGCTCTCTGACACACAGCAGACACCCAGGAAGCTGGGCTAAGACCTAGGGAGTCCAAAGTCAGCCGGACACTCACAGAACATGACTTTAGTGGTGGCCGACGGGCACCGTATGCAAATCAACAAGAAATAAAGAAGCAAAAAGAATTCCAGGGAGTGCCGAGATGACACATTCAGGAAGAGCAGACGAAGTGACCGGGTTGGGAGCTGGCTAGGGCGTGGGGTCTGAGAAGGTGCGTGTGGGCCAGAACCAGATGGCTGGGAGGAGGAAGCCACACACAGCACAGCAGGGAGAGAGAACCGTGAGCGCAAAGGAGTGGCCAAGTGATGCTTTATTAAGAGAGCAGACTCCCAGCTCAGTGCTCCTTTGGTGCCTTGTGCTGCCCTCAAATCCCTGAGGTGTCGCTAACTTGGAAGACAGCTGCTGGGATTGTAGATTCGGATCCCGGAAGTCCTGGGGCTCACCCGGATTTGGGTTTCCTGGTTCTTGTCCAGCAGGGGGTGAACTGACATCCTTCTCGGGCCTTCTCTCCCGGAGCTCCAGTCCTGGCCCCAAATCTCCATGGCAACCCTAGACGCACTCATAACCCAGGAGAGGAGGATCTGGAAGGGGGTGCCCGGAGATCGCAGGGAGGAGGCCAGGAGAGCTGGGCATACTCCTCTCCCCTGGCTTGGCCAGCCCCGCACCACCAAGTCTCCTCAAAGACCCCAACTTAACAATTCTGCAGGGTGTGCTGTGGCTGGGCACACAAAGCCTGGATGGGGGTGTGTGTTCCTCAGCTATGCGGAAGGCTGCTCCTGCTCGGGGCAGCCACCCTGGCTGTGTCTGCCCTGGAGACCGGTGAGTGTGAAGGGGCTAGGTGGGGACCCCCAGTGCCCTGAGAGGCTGTGTTTCCCCAACCAGTATTCATCCTGGTGGGTTGGGACCCCTTGAACTGGGAAAGGCTGGGAAACCCTGATGTTGATCTTGCTGGGTAGCCCCCAACTCCACCCCATTCTCTTCTGGGATGTTCCTGGAAGCAGAGGCTGAGTGTAGGCAGAGCAGCCTTCAAGTCTGGCATTGGAAAGCAGTGTGGGCTGTGGAACTACCTGGCCCTGTGTTCACGCACTCACTCTGCCACTTCCTATACCGGCACCCTTGAGGTCATCCTTACAGGTAAGATTCAGTGTCTTTGGCAGCGAGATGGGAGCAGTGACAGGTCCCTGTCCCTGGAAGGACTGTTGTAACTGTGTGTGCAGAATAGGATGAACTGTGCCAGATGCTCAGCGCCAGGCACTTAGCAGCTCTGTACAGACGGGGGGGAAGTGCTCCTATGTCCTGAGATTTCTTCTGCAAAGAGCCTCAGCCCACCTTGGCCCACTGGTGCCCCTTCCTCACATTAAAAAACCTTCTTCCTCTTCCTGCTGTGTCACAGCAGCAACCACAGCCCCTTTGAGCACTTACACATGATCTCATTGAATCCTTACGAAAGTCCTGTTCCAATAAGAATATTTTGGGCTGGGCCTGGCAGCGTGGCCTAGCGGCTGAAGTTCTTGCCTTAAACATACCCAGGATCCCATATGGGTGACAGTTCTAATCCCAGCAGCTCTACTTCCCATCCAGCTCCCTGCTTGTGGTCTGGGAAAGCAGGGGAGGACAGGCCAAAACCTTGGGTTCCTGCACCTGTGTGAGAGACCCAGAAGAACTTCCTGGCTCCTGGCTTCGGATCGGCACAGCACTAGCTATTGCGGTCACTTGGGGAGTGAACCATCGGATGGAAGATCTTCCTCTCTATTTCTCCTCCTCCACTGTTCCACTTCCTGTCCAGCTCCATGCTAATGGTCTGGAAAAGGCAGGGGAGGGATGGGTCCAAATGCTTGGGCCCTGCCACCCACGTGGGAGACTCAAATAAAGCTCCCGGCTCCTAGCTTTGGCCTGGGTCAGTTCTGTCCATTGTGGGATCTTGGGGAATGAATCGGAGGATGGATAATCTCTCTCTTTCTTTTTTATAACTCTGATGTTCCAATAAATAGATCTTACCTATGCAATGCCTTTGTTGTGATTCAAAAAAATATTAACAGTCTCTAGAAATCATTTTTGTTTTGCTCTTAACTAGTTTACTTAAAAATTAAAAAAAAATGTATTTATTTTTATTACAAAGCCAGATATACAGAGAGGAGCCAGGAGCCAGAACTTCCTCCAGGTCTCCCACTCAGGCGCAGGATCCCAAAGCTTTGGGCCATCCTTGACTGCTTTCCCAGGCCACAAGCAGGGAGCTGGATGGGAAGTGAACTGCTGGGATTAGAACCGGTGCCCATATGGGATCCTGGCATGCTTAAGGCGAGGACTTTAGCTGCCAGGCCACGGCCCAGTTTACTTGAAACTTGACCTGGTCTGACGGGAGGCTGTTTGTCATATTTGCCCCCCAGGTCACTCTGTGTTCATTCTGTTTCTGTAGAGATCGACCAGAGAGCTGCTAGAGGGCTGTACTGTAGTGTGGCATGTGTGGCTTATACAGGTTTTGGGAGAACTGGAAATTTCTGGAACACATCTAAAACTTCCGAATAAGGGATTGTTGATTTGAATGAAATGAAATCATGTATTATTCTTCACCAACATTCTGAGCTTGCTTATTCATCCGTTTACCCAATCAGGAGCTCTGCGGGGAGCAAGAGACCTGGTTGAGACCCCAGCACGCAGGGGCGGAGCCAGTTCTGCAGCAGGGCGTGGGTTCCAGGGTCAGTGCTCTCTCCACAGCCGACTTGGTGCACCTGTGCGGGCAGACGTGGCAGGGACCCGGCATGCTGCTGCGCTCACACTCCACGTCACGCAAGTTCTACTTCGTGGCTCCGGACACCGACTGTAAGCTCTGGATACAGGCAGCAGACCCTGGTGACAGGATCCACCTCCAGTTCCGCTTCTTCCTGGTCTACAGTCTGATGTCTGCGTCCCCGACGCTCCCAGCTCCCAATGCCTCCACCCCAGAGCCCTCAGACCCTTGCGTCCCTGGCTCCTACTTGCAGCTCTACGAGGGCCCACCTGAGGCGGCCCAACCCCTGGGGACCCCTCTCTGTGGCTTGACCATTCCCGTCCCTGTCATCTCGTCTGGACACTTCCTTGGCCTGCGCCTGGTCACCAGAGGCCGCCAGCCCCGAGTGGACTTCGTGGGTGAAGTCACCTCTTTCCGGTTGGGTGAGCTGGAGCTGAAGGCCAGGACCTGAAACCAGGGACTGGAGGGGCCTTGGGAGCGCAAGTCATAAGGCTGGGTCCTGCCAAAGGAAGGGGTGGTGACTAAGGGCTGCATGGGGCGGGGGGCACAGTGAGGGATGCTCCACACCCCAAGAGACAACCCCTGTAACCCTGGCTTCCCTGGGTGTACACAGCCCTGCCCATGCCCTGACAGGTACACATTCACACATAGGCAGTCCACTTGGGTGTACACTCCTACACAGTTCACAACACACACACACACACACACACACACACACACACACACACACACACACACACAATGTGTTCTTGTGTCCTGGTCACCCCTTCAGCCAGGACACAGGTTTTGCACATATAAGTTTGTTTCTTACACGTGTGAGTAACAGAAACTCTGGCACAGAGGGCATGGGCCTCTCTGAATGGAATGAATCATCCTTACTTTTTTTAATTTTTAAATTACAAAGTCAGATATACAGAGAGGAAGAAAGACCGAGAGGAAGATCTTCTGTTTGTTGATTCACTCCCCAAGCAGCTGCAGCAGCCAGAGCTGAGCTGATCCAAAGCCAGGAGCCAGGAGATTCTTCCAGGTCTCCCATGCAAGTGCAGGGTTCCAAGTCTTTGGGTTGTCCTTGACTGCTTTCCCAGGCCATAAGCAGGGAGGTGAATGGGAAACAGGGCCACAGGATTAGAACCGGTGTCCGTATGGGATCCCAGCAGTGAGTGCAAGAAGAGGGCAGTAGCCGCTTGGCTACCGTTCTGGGCTCTCATCCTTGCTTCTTAAGCAGTGATCTTGACTCTAATCCAGGCCCCACAGCAACCCTACTGTGCAGTGTTCTGACCCTTGTGATTGCAGATGAAGCAAGGGGTTCAGGGAAGGTGAATAAAACCTTACGAAGTGTTGGGGAAATGCCCTTTAGCTTCACTGGAGTTCAAGGCTTTAGTGCCAGCTGGCTCCCTTGGAACTGGAGCCCCTTGCTATATGACAACAGAAGTTGTTTGCAGTGGTGGTGGGCAGATGTGCTCCCAAAGTGCAGCGGGTTTTAGAACCATGGAAAGCTTGACCACAGTTTCCAGCAGGACAGTTGGGCTGGAGAAATACATGAGGGCTTGGGACTGCTTCCAGACTAGGTGCATGGGTTCTCCGAGGGCCGGTACAGGCTCAGCAAGGACTTGGCCTTGACTTGGCTGGCTATGGACAGTCCTTCAATGAGCAGATGGAATGTCTCTCTTTATCTGTCACTGTCTTTCAAATTAAAAAAAAAAAAGCTTTAAAGAGCAACAGTAACAAAAAAGAAAGAGGGAAAGGAAGGAAGAAAAGAAAGAAAGAAAGAGGAAGAAGCAGAGCTGGAACTCAAACTCAGGCAATGAGATAATGTGACACGGGATGTGGGTGTTCCAGGCAGTGGCTTAACAACTGGGCCAAATGACCATCCTTGAGTTTTAGATTTCAGATTCTTGGTCGCTCCTCTCGGTCCCATCCCCTGGTTCTGGGATGTGGAACTTAGATCCTTTGGGGCACTGACTGACTGTGCCTGGGGACCCCTTCCAGGGTCTGTAGCAAGAGCCAAGGTATCTACTGGGCTATTAGCCAGACAGCTCTCCTGGCTGATGGGACCCCAGCACCACCTAGTCTATTCTCTTCACTCTCTCCTTTCTCCTAGCTCTAGTTGCCCGCCCATGATGCCACTGTCAGCCAGGGTGGCTCGGGTTGTACTGCTCCGTGCTGGGCAGCATTGGGTTCTGTAATGGGCAATAGTGAAGCCCTCTCCCCACCCTGGCTTTAGTCAGTTTCATTGTCAGAAGGAAGAACAGCTCATTTCAGGCTCTCGTGTTGCATGCCCCATCTCTGTCACTTATACCCACAGGTACCTGCACGGTGCTTGCACACCTGCCCAGAACAACACTCACATGTGACACATGTGACTCCCTCATGTCACCAGGCATTCCTGTTCTAAGATATTTTCTCTTTGCCCCTCTCTTTACCCGCTCTCCCTCCCATCCTCTTTTCAATTATTTGTGTTGTTTTGAAAGGCAGAGGTGACAGAGAAAGGGATCTTCCATCCACTGGTTCACTCTCCAAACGACAGCAATGACTGGGCCAAAGCCAGGAGCCTGGATCTCCATCTGGCTGTCCCGTGTAGGGTGGCAGAGGCCCAAGTTCTTGGGCCACTTTCTGTTGCCTTCTCAGGCATGTTAGCAGGGAGCTAGATCAGAGCAGAGCAGCTGAAACTCCAACTAGCACTCCGATACAGGACTCTGGCACCCTGATTAGCAGCTTAACCATTGAATCATAAGGCTGGGTATTGGTTCGTGTCCCAGCTGCTCCACTTCCTATCCAGCTCCCTGCTTGTGGCCTGAAAAAGCAGCAGAGGATGATTCAAAGCCTTGGGACCCTGCACCCACATGGGAGACCCAGAAGAAGAGCCAGGAGCTTCTTCTGGCTTCATTTTGGTTCAGCTCTGGCCGTTGTAGGGAGTGAACCAGCAGACACAGAATCTTTCTGTCTTTCCTTCTCTCTGTAAATCAGCCTTTCAAACCAACCAACCAATCAATCTTTAAAGACATCTTTAAAAAAACAAAAGAATTGCCGGAAACTGCAGAGCTGTGGCTTTGCTTGGCATGTTCGGGCTCGTGGGGATATTTCTAGGGTGTGCACACACAGACACATGCATACAAATACGCATACACACATATGCACATAGAAAAATAGATACAGAGAGGCACACAGACACACACAGAGGAATACAGAGAGACACAAACACACAGAGACACACACATAAAAAATATATACACAGGGGTTGGCACCATGCTTAGTGAGCTGGGTTTCTGCCTGTGGCACTGGCATCCCATGTGGATGCTGGTTCAAGTCCCAGCTGCTTCACTTCCTATCCAGCTTTCTGCTTACGGCCTGGGAGGGCAGCAGAGGACAGCTCGGGTCGTTGGGCCCCTGCACCCATGTGGGAGGCCCAGAAGAGGTTCCTGGCTTCAGACAGGCTCAGTTCTGGCCATTGCAGCCATTTGGGGAGTGAGCCAGCTGATAAAGGCTCTCTCTCTCTCTCTCTCTTTCTCTCGCTCTTTCCACCTTTCATTCTCTCTGTAGCTCTTACCTTTCAAATGAGAATGGAATAAATCTTTAAAAAATGCACATATATTCACATAGATATAGGCACACACAGATACACACACAGGGACACACATATACCACATACATGTACCTCATACATACATATACACAGACACACATAGAGGCACAAACACATACATACACAAAGACGCACATACACACAGACATATTACAAATACACACACACAAAGGCAGAGATGTACACACAGAGACACACATACAGATAGAACACACATTCGGATGCACACAGACACACGGAGGCTGAACTACAGAAAGCAGAGGCACAGGACACACAGGGACACACAGAGACACACCTGCAAACACACACATAGACATAGACTCCCACTGTGAGCCACAGCGGGTATTTATGTCCTAGCCTCCAATCCGGCCTGCGGAGTATGGCTTCTGTCAGGTGACCAAGTCTACTTGTGCTTTAGTCTTCCTATCTGTAAAATGGGATTAGAAACAGTGCTTACTACACTGTACCACACAAGAGTACTTCCCACACAACAGTGCTCACCACACTGGGTGGTCGTGAGGATTAGATGGATTGAGAGTGAAGTGTTTGGCACTCTGCCTGGACAGAATAGGACCTCCATGCATGTCAGCTGCCCATGAGAATCACAATTGGCCAGCTCTCTGTCCACCCTGTGGGTGACAGCAGCCGTACCACAGCATCTGCCTCCCCCCACACCTCCAGTCTCTCACTGTAGGCCACAGGCCCAACCTGGAATCCTCATTCAACTTCCCCCTTCTACCCAAGGACCCTGTGGGGCCTACTTCCGCTGTCACAATGGCAAGTGCATCCCCCCGAGCCTGGTGTGTGATCGCTGGAGCATAGACAACTGTGGCGACGGCAGTGACCAGGCCTCCTGGGCACCGGCCAATTGCAGAGGTCAGTGATGGGTGTGGTTTTGTCCCTCCTCACCAGCTGGGAAGGCAGCTGTGCTCCAAGTCCTCCTGCTGCAGCCAAGCGCACAGCAGGAGAGAGGAAGTGAGAGCAGGAAGGGGTTCTGACCAAGGTCCTGAAGGTCAGGCCACTTAGAGCTCGGATGACGCAGATGACTCGGCTTACCCGTTTCCAGAGGACTGTTTAGCGGTGGACGCTGTTGAGCCAGACGTGGGGGGTAGAGGGCTCAAGACAGCTGCAGCGGGAGGCTCTGGTCAACAGAACTGGGAGGGTGGACCTGGTGACTCTTGATGAGACTGGCACTGGGATTATGGGGGAGAAGACGGCGGAAGCAAAGTGCCACTCTTGCCAGGTGCTGCACACTGTCACATCCTTCCAGTGCTGAGGGGTGGGACAGCTGGCTTTTCCGTTCTCCCTGCTGCTGTCTACCTCCTCCTGTTACGGGTGGGGCTTGTGTGTTCCAGCAAGCCCTGACTCAAAGTCTTCGCACTTCTCATCTCTCTCAGGGACAGCAAGCCTCCTGAAGTCTCCTGCAGGTTTGCTTTGGCGCAGGGCGCACGCCCTGCCCCTCTACGCAGTCCTCCCAATGTCCTCTCCTGTGACTGTCCTGCCACCTGGCCTTTCATGAGCTGTTTGTCCCACATGGGGATTTTTTTTTCTTCAGGTTATTCCCTTGCTTCCCAGCAGGCCTCTGCTTCTTTGTTCCCCAGTGTGTGGCAGGGGATTATAACAGGGATGGCAGAATCTTATGCCAAGTGCTACAAGGCAAACACAAAAGGACAGACACCAAGGGATCCTGCTTGAAGAGGCCCCTAGAGACCTGGCTGGGGTGTAGGAACCTCCAGTTTGAAAGGACAAAACAGCATTCTGGAGAGATGGGCAGGGGTGAATGTTGTGCACCTGTGAGCATGGGCTTGCTGCCATGGAACTGGACACTTAGAACAAAGCAGTTAAAATGGCAAACGCATGTATGTTTTATCACAGAGAAGGTAACCCCACCTCTACCCAGCATGCCTTGCCTTCTCTTCCTGCTAATTTTTCTTCATAGTCCCATCTCTATTAAAAAATTATGTATTTTAAAGTGACAGAGGGAGAGAGAAAGAGAAAGGGAGATTGTCCACCCATTGGATCATTCCCCAAATGGCTGCATCAGTTGGGGTGGGCCAGGCCAAAGCCAGGTTCCTGGAAGTCCGTTCGTCTTCCCCTGTGAGTGCAGGGGCCCAAGAACCTAGGGCATCGACTACTACCTTCCCGGGTGCATGAATAGGGAGCAGGATCAGAAGCGAAGCAGGCAATGCAAGCAGTGGTTTAATGTGCTGTGCTCCCCCCTGTACTTGACAAAGGATATATTCAGCAGTGGATATGGTAAAGTCACTTTTCTTTTGCTCCCCGTTGTGCTCCCCCACCCCCAGTCTCCAGAGCCACGTTTGAGGTACTGCAGATGCTTGAGAAACGCAAGAGTGGAAGGATGAACCTGACACTGCCTTGGTTTCCCCATCTGTGAAATGGGGTGATGAGGCTTTCTGTGTTGTCAACCACCATACAGAGCCCAGTGCTTGGTGCTCAGCAAACTCAGGGTTTGTGCACATCTCCTGGGGAAGCCCTCCAGTCTCCAGCCCAGGTCCTGGAGCCATTTCTAGCTGTGTGATCTCCCCTTCTCTGCATCCAGAAATACTGTGGGGTTTTGTGGGACCCTGGGAAGCACGGGAGTGACCCTGGAAAGGGCTGTTCTGTGTAGTCCTTTAGTTTCTTCCCTCTGCAGCTCCCTCCCCAGTGCCCAGCCACACAGGAAGCTCTGCCATGGACAGCTCCAAGTCCCCGCCTCTCAGGTCTGCAGGAACCCTCCAGATTACATCTCAGGGGAGTCCCCCAGAGGCCTGGGGCCGTGCACCCCAGGACACAGCTTTGCAAGGTAGGAGCTGGTCCTGCCCTGCCCATCAGAATCCTATGTAGTGGGGGACAGGGCTGGTGGTCCAGGGCTGAGGTCTGAGTGGATCCTTTTTTCTTGCAGGTCATAGGCTCCTGGCCTCTTCACTGCTCTTGGCCTGCGCCGGCCTCCTCCTGGCCTTCCTTTGGTGCTGCTGCTCCTCTGGCTGGCTGGCCCGGCAGCCTGCCGTCTGTGGCCTCTGCTGCAGTGCAGCCCACCCTGTCTGCCGTGCCTGTCCCAGCCGGGTTGTCCCTGGGGGGCTCCAACTCAGTGGGCCACGCTTCCAGGATATCCCAGGTCATGCTTAGAGAGGCTGTGGATGTCCAAGGATGGAGAGTGGGCTGTAGGGTCAGGCTGACCCTGGGTTCTGTGACCCCTTGGCTGGCTGGCTGGCTGGGGTGGGTCACTCAACCCTGTGAAACTCAGCCTGCTCCTTGGGGAGGTGGGACCAGTGCTGCCCTGCAGGGTGCTGGTGAGAGCTGCAGGAAGTGACCAGGCCTCTGATTCTTCAGGATCAGGGCAGCACAGGACATGGGCTACTTGCTTCACTCCTGGACCCCAGCAGCTTCTCTGCCCCACCCCGGGTACTTTGGAGCCAAACCCCAATAAAAGGGTGTGAGCAGCCCTGGCGGGGATAGCACCGTTTATTAAGAAAAATCAAGACAAAGACCACAGGAGGGTCCCTCCTAGGACACAGAGGCCAGGTATCCCAGCCTCCCAGCCTGGGGGCTCCCATAGCTGGGGCAGGACTGGCATATCTCCCCTCTACCCTTCCCAATCATAACTCCTGGCCTCCCCCATCAGCAGCCCCCTCGGCCCCTGGGCCTTCACTTCCAGATGAGTAGGGGGGCTGAGGCCTGGTGTGTGTGGAGGGCCTGTCAGTGCTGGGCTCTGCCTGGAGCAGCTCCTGGGGAGTGGGGGTTTCCAGGCAGCCCCTGTGGTTAGGGGCCCTGGACTGTGTGTGTGGGATAGGTGTGCAGGACGGGGTGGGGAGCTCAGTGGGAGAGGGGAGGCTGTCAGGGGTAGGTGGCTAGGACGTGGGAGGAGGGGTAGGACGTGGGCTGGGGGAGGGGGAGCTGCCTTCTGCTCCACAGCAGACATAGAGAGCTTCCCGGCGCAGAGGGGGTGGCCACGGCTCCTGCCACACCCTCCTGTTCACGTAGCCAGTGAGCACCAGGATGGAAGCTGAGGTGGGCGCGCACAGTAAGAGGCTGGAAAGGGCTGCTGAGATGGGCATCCGGGCTCTGCCTGGAGGGGCCCTTGGGCGGGTGCATGGGAACAGCTCTGGGCCACTGCATTGGACTCCACGTCACAGTGGTGTTCTGAGGAGTCTGTTCCCATTTGGGTTGCCCACCCACCAGCTCTGTGGTTTTGCCCAGGTGTGCATGGTGGTGCCACTCTCCCCTCCAGTCCAGCCCAGGGCGGTAGCAGCAAAGCGTGGCATCGCCTCGGTTTCTTACAAAAATTCATAATAATAATATTAATAATAATATACTCGACATGGTTGGGTTAGGCTCTACCCAGGAGTCCATAAGGGGAGGCAGGCAGGTGCCTATGACGGGCAGGGGCGCGTGTTGGCTCCTGCCAGGGCACGATGCTGCAGGTCCAGGGGCTGGGGGGGTGGGCCACTAGGCTGGGCAGAGCGCAGCACCAGGTTCTTGATACAGCCTGTGATACCCGAGGAGAACCTGCCTCCGGTCAGGGTGGCCACGTCGGGAGCTCCGCCTGTGGGAAGAGAAGCAAGAGCATCTGTTGGCTCAGAGCCCAGCATGGGAGGTAGGGCAGGTGCATTGTACCCCCCTTGTCCCGAGGGCAGCTCCAGGCCTACAGCAGACCTGAGCCCAGGAACTTACCCACGTAGATGTTGCCCTTGGTGTTGACTGCCACATTTGGGCCTGGGGACTGCCCGCTGACCAGCTCCTCACCGTCCACCTGGATGGAGCCTCTGCGACCCTCTCTGCAGTGAAACTGGGTCAGGTCACTACCACAGACTGCCCATCCTCCTGGGCCCACCCAAGGGATCCCAGCTGCCCCTGCCCTCTGAGTTCCTTAGTGCCTGCTGGGGAAGAGATTGGACCCCAGCAATCCAGTTTCCTTCCTGATCTCAACTCGGTTGAGCCCTCTCTCTGCAGGGCTCAATGCCTGCCTCCCTGTCCACAGTGGGGGTGTCCAGTCCCACTCTAAAACTTGGGGCCCCCTGCCCGAGTGCCCAGCCACATTCTCTCACCGCAGTGCTGTCACCCGATGCCACTCGCCATCATTGATGGGGTCCTCAGAGACAAGGCGGGCTTCCCCACTGCCCAGCTGGTAGCTGTGGTCACAGACCCCAGAGTGTCAGTCAGGACAGGGTGGAGGTGGGGATGGTTGTGGTGGTGGGAGGTGGCACTGGGAACTGAGCAGGCGAAGGACCTACCTGAAGACAAGGTGCCCGTCCTGAAGCCCAAGGCTGACGAAGTCCTTGCCTCGGCTGACTTTGCCTATCTCCTGCCGGAAAAACACAGGGTCTCTGGGGGCTCCCCAGCCTGGAAGGCAGAGGCCCCCTTTCTCTCTCCACAATGTCCTGGCCAGCAGGAGGTCAGCCACTTGCCCCAGAAACCCAGCAAGCCCACACTCACCACTCCCTGCCAGAGGAGGAGGCCACTGGCCGTGCTGGTGCGAACCTCCAGCTCAATGGTCTCGGGCACTTCGGGGAGGCTGTGAGCAGGGGAAGAGGAGTTGAGGGGACAGAAGTCAGGAGTCCCACTCTCCCTCCAGGCCCTGGGGTTCTCCTAGAGCATGCTCACCTTCTGGAAAAGATGTGGCCAGGGAGGGCTAGGAAGCCGCCATCATAGAAGTAAGCTCCATACTGGCCGGGGGCGTCTGTGGAAACGGAAGGAGCGAGAGGGGTGAGCCATCTGTGGACTTGCCTCAGGTGTTAGAGCTTCCATCCCTACCTCCATCCCTACCTCCACTGCTGGGGCTCTGAACCTACAGTCCTTGGGCATTCAAGTAGCCATCAACTGGTTCAGGGGCCTGGGAACTTGGGTGGTAACCTACTCGGCTGTTCTCGTTCACTCCTTCCCGAGGCTGCCATCACTGCTCACCCCATGCCAGGCTGTAGACACTTGGAGTACTGTGGGCATTTATTACTGTCCTGACACTGTGGTCACTATTAGGACCCTCACTATCATGTTATTTACTGTGTTAATAAAGCAGCACAGGGATGACACATATAAGTATGTGTGGATAAATTTCTGCTCAGCTGGGTTTCTGCTGCAATCCTATGCATTTCATTTCACGAGGTCGGCTCGGCCAGTGTGGGCTGGCCCCTGCCCCTAGTTGCCAGGATCTGTCTGGCTATGGCTTGGCAGGTCCCACAGCTCCATAAAGCCCTTCATCTTGAGCAGACTGAGATAGGTTGTCGCCTGGACATTGGTGTGCAGTGGTTGGGAGCCTTGGTGCTCTGTCAGTTTTACATGGGAGGACACACTCAGTGAGACACAACATCTAGGGCCAGCGTGCTGTGCAGCCTCAGATGCTGGTTGTCCATATGGGCGCTGGTTCAAGTCCCAGCTGCCTCACTTCCAATCCAGCTCCCTGTTAGTGTCCCTGGGAAAGCAGTGGAAGATAGCCCAAGTACCTGAGCCTCTGCACGCATGTGGGAGACTCAGATGAAGTTCTAGTTACCTGGCTTTGGCCTGGCCCACTCCTGGCTGTTGCAGCCATTTAAGGAACATTACTGCCATGTAGGGAGTGAACCAGCAGGCAGAAGATCTCTCTCTGTCCTCCACTCTCACTCCTGCCTATAGCTCTGCTTTTCAAATAAAGTCTTTTTTTTTTTTTTAAGAGGAAGACACAAAATTCACAGAAGTTAATCTTCTAGATCAGATGGTTAATATTCTGAGCATGCTCAATACAATCAACAATTTTATTCTTAGGCAAAATTGTCTCCAAAATCTCTGGGAAGAGATTATGTCTGTTTTATACATGGGGAGGCCGAGGCACAGAGAGGTTCAGTCACCTACCCAACGCCACACAGCTATGAGGTAGCAGGGCTAGAATTTGAACCCAGACAGGCTGGTTCCAGAGTCCGCACTCTTAACCACTTACCCATTTTCCTATTATACCAGTGGTGAGTAAACAATGTATCTACAGAGGAGCTAGCACAGAGCTTGCTATGTTTAACTTCAGTTTGAAACAGATGGTGGACTCCTTGACAACCAGGGTCCCACCTCACTCATCTGTTCTTTTCTGTTCCCACTGTGTGCCAGGATGGGCACATGATGATGGGTAATGACTGAATGCAGGAATACAGAGCAGCAAACGGGTCAGAGTGGGTCTACCTGTCCATGGTCACCCTGCCAGTCAGCGTGGGGCAGGACACAACTCTGGGCATGGGCACGGTGCCCTTCTGTATTTTGCCCTTTCCATGCCCAGTGAGCCCCTCACATGGGCCTATTGTCTTAGACTTAAGAGCATGGGATAACTGGGGAATGGGGCGAAGGGTGGGGGAAGCCCAGCATTCCGGCCTCCTTGGCTGGTCATGTCGAGCGCCTACCGCTGCCCCCGCTGCCTTCTAGGTGCCAATCGGACTCTGCTGTGCCATGTCCAGGACCTGTGGGAAAGACCAGGCTCTAGTCGGTGGGCATGGCTCCACTGGGCACTCGGTCCAGCCCAGGGTCCCAAGAGGACGGTGGAGAGAAGCCAGGACTGGGTACCTTGCTGGCAGCGTGGGCCTGAGAAGCCAGGGGGACAGAGGCAGTGGGTGCCCTGGCAGGTGCCCCCATGCAGACAGGGCTCGTGGAGCTGGCAGGGGTTCTCCTCATGCTCACAGAGGTCTCCTGTGGATCAGGGTGGAGGTGAACGCGTGGTGGGCATGACTGGAGGTGCTGCTCCCCCCTGGTGCCTGGTCAGCACCCCTACCTTTGAAGCCATCACGACACAGGCACTGGAACTCGTATTCGCCAGCGGGCATGCACGTGGCACCATTCTGGCAAGGCTGGCGCTCACACGGGGAGCTGTCATAGCACTGCCCGATGCCTCGGCTGCCTAGGAAGCTGTAGGTAAGGTCCAGTCGCTTGCCATTCACTGAAACCTGTGGGCACAGGGACGTCGAGGAACTGAAGGGGAGCAGAAGGCAGGGGCATGAGGGAGCCACGCAGGAGGAGGCAGCAGAGGTGGCTGAGAGACCCCTTCGCACGTGAGAAGGGGACCAGAGACACCCGGGTGGCACCTGCTGTAAGGAACACCTATCCCCCTGCACAGATCCCTCGGTGTTCTCATGTGTTGTCTCCATTTTAGACAGGAGGAAACGGGTGAAGCGGACAGTCCCAGGGCCCTGGTGAGCTGCAGATGGTGGCTCAGCCTGCCCTCCTCTGCCCCACTCCTTCTCTGGGGCTACTCCTTACCTCACCAACACAGCCACGGAAGTGAGCGCTCACGTTGGTGGCTGGAGACAGCGGCACAGAGGGTTCCACGCCGCCCAGGTAGAGGAGCGTGTGTAGGTTGAGGCCCTGGCTCTTGCCGGGCGAGGAGCGCAGCACAGGGCGGCCTCCGTTTATCCGCAGGCTGCCATCCTTGTTGAGGCGCTCAGCAGATGCACGGTGCCAACGGCCCAGGGCCAGTGGCTCGGGGCTCCGCAGAATGGCCAGTCCTGTATGGGGCAGTGGGGAGAGGCCGCCAGAGAGCGATGGAGACTTGAGTGGACAGGGAACTTCCCATGGCTGTTGGGCATGCCAAATGAGGAACCCAAGGTTGAGAGAGCTCTGGGGACGTGCTTAGCATCACACACAGCAAGGCACAGGTAGCAGCAGGAGACCATGGGTGGCTGACCCCCAGGTCTCCTCCTCCCTGCCCCTGTAGAGTATGACAGGTCAAGGAGGACACAGAGCTTGGCACTCAGGGTCTCCTCTGCCTCTGCTGCCTGGTGTTTACCTGACCCCAACTCGTAGCGGAACTCCAGGTGGCCGCCAGCCATGGCCAGGGACACAAAGTCCTCCACAGGCCCACTCTTTCCCCCGCTGAACAATAAGATCCCATCGGGTGCCAGTGGCTTGAACTCAACATCCAGGCGTAGCTCGTGGTGTGTGTTGGTGAGGGCAGGCAGTGCCAGGTAGGAGTCGGAGCCCGACATGGAGGGGGTGGTCACTGTGACACCTGCGGTGACAGTCACAGCTCAGGACTCAGCAGCAGGAACCCGGAGTTGGGGGGAAGGAGCCCAGCCCTGCTCTGGGACCCCTGCCTATCACAGAACGAGCTGGGTGGCAGCTGGGACAGCCCCAGAGCCTCTGGCCTGGACATCACACACTAGGCTGGCAGCAAACCCAGTGAGATAAGGGTCTTGTCTAGGGACCCTCATGTAAGGGACTCAGGCTTGGGGATGGGGGTGCTTGTAGCCAGGTGACTTTGTGCTGGTTCTGGGCTACTTTTGTAGGGTCCATTTTAGTCGGGGGGTCTTGCTAAGCTTGCCCAGCCACCACTGAGAGGCTGATTCCACTCACCTTCCTCGCATCTTGCCCCTGAGCGGCCTAAGTGGCAGCGGCAGGTGTAGCCTCGGCCATCGGGCCGGTTCACGCAGGTGGCATCTGGCCCACAGGCCTCTGGGGGACACATGGGTCAGTGAGGAGGATGTTGAGATGACTCAGCAGGGGTGGGACCCTGATGTCAAAGCCCAGTCTATCGCACACAGGAGGCCTTAGCTGGGACTGAAGCCAGGCTGGGAAGGCTGTCCAGGAGGCTGGGGGGTGTCAAAATGGCTCTGTGTGTCTATGGTAATCTTGAAAGACAGTATTGGGTAACAAGATGTGGGTACCATGTGCCTGAGTTATAAGATGGCTAGGTGGTCAGCACTTGGGAAGGACTAGGTGGGCAGGATGGGAAAGGTGTGAATCCTTGGTGAACTAGATGGTGGGGTGTAGACACCTGAGTAGCCGTGCTGGTGGGGGAGGGTCATTGGCTGGCAGAGCTGGGGGGGATAGGTTATCTAGGGAGAGTGGGGTGCTCTCAGCTAGGAGTGATGGGGGTGGGCTATGGATGGAGAAGAAAGGGTGGCAATGGTGAAGATGGGCACCTGGGGGTGACAGTGGTGTGGCAGCCTGGGGTACGCACCTGGGTGGCAGTGCAGGGCCTGTGAGTGCTCGCAGCGGCTCCCGGTGAAGCCAGCCGGGCACACGCACATGTAGCTGCTGCTCTCTGAGTCGTGGCACTGGCCTCCATTCTGCAAAGCAGCCCCCAGGAGTCAGGCCGAGCACACCCTTGTCCTTCCCTCTCCCCACAGGGGCTGGCCCTGGCCAAGGGCAGTGGCTGGGGCAGTCAGGGGGATACCCGTAATGGGTGTGGGATCACCTGGCAGGGCCGGTCCCGACAGGTGGGGCAGTGGGAGATGCCGTGTGCGGTGAGGTTGAAGTCATGGAAGATGATCTCCTCGTCCTGGATGCGTAGTTCCCGGACACAGCCTGTGGGCAAGCGGGTGGGCAGGGTGAGCCCGTGGCTGGGGCTGGCTGCTGGGAAGCCTGCCCATGCCCTGCAGGACCAGCCCAGGCTCACCGACAAAGCCGCTGCTCAGGCCTGCCTTGGGGATGGCTGCATAGTCAGGGTAGCCGCCCAGGTACAGCTCCTCATTCAGGTCCAGGCCCTGGAACTTGCCCTGGAGAGGCAGAGAAGGCAGGACTGGCAGGCGGACCTAGGGCAGGCCAGGCTGAGGGCTGGGGTTAATGCCGGGGGCCTGAGCTCACCTGGGAGGTGCCGTTGACTGGAGTCAGGTTGCCCACAGTCAGGGAGCCCTGGGTGAGGCTACGCAGCAGGGTCACTGTATGGAACTGGCCCAGCGCCAGCGGTGTAGGGTGGCGGATGGTGGCCATGCCAGAGCCTGCGTCAAACCTGCTCAGTGGGGTGGAGGGTAGGGCAGGAGAGAGTGGGTGGCGGGTTTATAGGGAGGGCCTTGGAGGGGTACCAGAGGGGGAGCCGTACCTGCTCTTGCAGCCTCAGCTCTGGCACTGCCCTGGTTGTTATGCCTGCTGTGTCCAGCACCAGCTCGTCCTAGCCGTGACCCCTCCCAGCTATCTCCCTGTACTGCCTGGCAGCTTTCTGGAGCAGCCCTGGCACTCTCTGCTGGTACCTGTCTTCACTGTGCCCGAGTCCTCCCTCTGCAATCTCTCTGTTTATGACCTGTGATTCCCAGCAAGGGTGACATTTCCTTAAGCACAAGAATGGAGTCTGTATCAGGGTCTGGCACATGGTGTGTGTTTGCTGAGTACCTGCTCAATGGATGAATTAGTGAATGAAACCTGGCCTGCAGCAGCCCCAGGTCTGAGGCTGGCTTGCTCCTCCACCTTACTGGCATACTGTGCTCCTCCAGCGGGCTGGGTGGTCACCCAGAGTGACCGTGATCGTGAAAGCGCTCCTTCTCCCAGAGCCTCCGTTGTGGAAATAGGACAGTGACCCCTGGACTTCAGTCCTCTGGGCAGCCCCCCAGCCCTTCCTCCCCTAAAACAGGGAGGCTGAGGGTCTCACCGGAACTCGGGCCTTCCACCCACAAGGCCGAAAGAGATGAAGTCGGGCTGCCTGTTGGCCAGGTTGGTGGGGCTCCCTGGGGTGCGCTTCTGCCCGTTGTACAGCAGCATTCCTGGTGGTCACAGCAGTGTAAGGGGCCCCCCTCTAGCCACGGGCTCCCTGTGACCCCCATCATAGGTAGGAACCAAACCCTGGGGCCTGTCCATGCTCTGGCTGCTGTTCCTCCCTCGAGTGCTCCTCCCACAGCCTGGCCTTCTTGCCATCCCAGGGTTGGCACCCTTGACAGAAGGTCTTGCTAGGAGCCCCGACAAGAAATAGATACTGACTGCTTCACACCCTTGTAGGGTCCCCCGGAAGCGAGTGAGAGAGGCAGAGACTCACCCGAATAAAGAAGGAGGCCTGGACAGTGAAAGTCAGAACCCGAAAGGGAGGAGAGAGAGAGATGAGGATGAAGTGAGAAGTGGGAGAATAGGGAGAAGGGAGCAGCAATGGGGACAGGAGGCCTGGACATGGTGCGCCCAGGATGGCAGAGGGCAAAGAGGAGGCTGCAGCGGGAGCCACCTGAGGGCAGGGAGCAGAGAGCAGGCACAAGCGAGGACCCAGAGCGGGAGACCCCAGGCCAGGCAGGGAAGGTTCAGGCCACCTGGCAGATTCTCCACCAGGTTCCCCTCTCCACCCCAGTCTCCCTTGTCAGCCTCTTGCCTGCTTACCGTCAGCTGAGTCCGGCCGGAAGGTGATCTTAATCTCAAACTTCCTGTAGGCATCCTTAATGGTGGGCAGTGGCAGGAAGGAGTAGGGGGTTTGGGTGAAGTAGGGCACCACCCGCTCTGCCAATAGAGAGCACAGGGAACCATTAGTCAATGCCTTCCAGGTAGGGTACTGCCAATGCTGGCGGTGGGGGTTGTCTTACCTGGCACTTGCAGATTGGCAAAGGCTTTGACCTTGCCCTGGCGATTAGTAGCAGTGCAGATGTAGGTGCCAGCATCCTGGGGCCGGACTGAGGGCAGCATCAGCATGTTGTTTTCCAGGCGGCTGTCAGGTGGCAGGCTGCCATCCAGCTGTGGACACACTAAGTCTGAGGAGCCTGGCCTTGGCCCACACCTCCTATGGGTGCCTGCCTCCAAGCTCACCTTCAGACTCCAAACATGGATTCTGCGCCAGGTCCTGGGAGTTCTGAGATGGTTTAAACCCGGTCCTGGCTGTGGCATACCTGCCGATTCCCCGTGCACCACTTACCTTGCTCCAGGTGATGTCAGGTGTGGGGTAGCCCGAGGCCATGCAGGGGAAGACAGCCGCAGAGCCAGCAGGTACACGGACTTCTGGGGGTGTTGAGATCTGGGGCAAGGCTGGAGGGGAAGGAGACACAAACCACCAACATGACGATGGCCAACCCCTTGTATGTCCAGCCTGGGTCCAGCACTGTGCCCCATTTCACAGATGAGGAAATTGCGGGTCAGTGTGGAGAAGCAGTTGCTTGCTCCTGGCTACACGGAGGGAACTGGGCAGAGTCAGGGCTCAGGATCTGGTCTGCCTGACACCTTTTCAACATGTTTGGGGAGAAACTTGTGCAGTGCTCTGGGGCCCTGAGAAGGGAGCACATGGGCTGTGTGGGGGAGCAGGCATGGGGATGAAGCATGAGAAACCACAGCTTTTGTCGGCACGGCATCTATCTGCCTTGTGTTCCTGTTATGTCTGTATCACCAGACTGGCTGAAGGGGCTCTCCATCACTACCTGCAGGTGAGGACTGTATGTGACTTCCCCCCACAGTGCCCTGCAGCACAGCTCCTTCCCTACGGGTTCCAGCTTTCCCTAAACACACGCAGAAAATCTCCCCAGAGAGTAGACAGGAGGAGAAATGGCATGAGGGCCCCCACCCCAGTCTTGCTCCCCGTATTCCCAGTCACCTTGCACGAGCAGCAGCACATGGGACTGTGTGGTGCCAGCGCCGTTGGTGGCAGTGCAGCGGTACTGCCCAGCGTCGGCCAGCTCCACGTGGGGGATCTTGATGACATTCCCGCTCTGCAAGATGCCAGGCCGCAGGCGCCCTCCAACTTTGCTCCACGTCACCTGAGGTTTGGGGTCACCCAGTGCCAGGCACTCGAACTCCACAGAGTGGCCGACCACCACGGTCTGCACGGAGGTCCGGATGTTGATAAGCACAGAGGGTAGGGCTGGGGAGGAGTGAGGTAGAGGGCCGGCAGGTTAGCCCACAGGCGACTGACCCCTGCTGTGCTGGCACTGGTTCTTATCCTCACCTGCTTTTCTTTTCCATGAAGCCACTCATGGACACACAAACCTGCTTGTTTTTTTTGTTTATTCATCCACTTACTCATGTATCCACCAGTGTGGATTCTTCACCAGTGAGGCTGGGCATCCACCATGACACCTGCCTCCCTCACAACGTTATTAAGCTCCTCACTTTGCACTAGACACAGCAGAGTGAAACACAAGCGTTTTCTGCCTAGGAGGCTGCCTACACTCCATTCTCCTTAGCTCTGTCCCTTGCTCTTCGCAGGGACCTGAAGCCTCCCTCTTACCTTGGACAACCAGCTGGGCACTGGCCTGGGCTTGTCCCCAAGGTCCATGGGCCTGGCAGACATATGTCCCTTGGCAGCTCTGGTCTAAGTTCTGGATTCTGTGAAGGGGAAGAAAAATGTTAGGGTGTGAGCACAACCGAGTCCTGTTTGGCAGCCTTGTGGGAGGTAAGAGCTGATGTGGGTTAGCACCCTGAGTCAAGTTCTGCTCTCCCGATAACCACAGGAGGCATGCAGGGGGCTTCACAGCTGCTTTAGATGAAGACCCTGTGTTCAAGATCACAGTTATCAAGTAGCAGAGCCGAAACCTGGGGTGTCTGTGGGCATCTCACCCCAGAGCTGTTTTCTTCCTCCCACTAACAGTAGAAGGAATATGAGCCTCTGTTTTTGGAAGGATGTCTAAGCACTGTGATTAGTGTCTTCCACAAACTTATTTAAGTCTTACTTAACCCACTGTACAGCTGGGAAAACAGAGGTTCCCAGAGGTCAAGTTACTTGCCCAAGGACAGTGCTTCATGTGGAGGCTCCTCGGGGCAGGTGCTCTAACTCTGTTCCACCCATCAGCTATGGGCAGAGTCTAGTCCTGACCGCACCCTTACTCACCGCAGCACCCCATCCTGCACGCTGTGGCCAGGAGGTAGCTGGCCCCCTTCCTTGATCCAGCGGAGCTGGGTACCCTGGTCGCTGGGCACGGCACAGTGGAACTCGACGCTGGCCCCGATGCTCTTGGTCTCCTGCTGAGGTGTGATCTGCACGGTGGGTGGGGCTCTGGCTGAGATGGCAGTGTCAGGGAGTGTGCTGGAGGAGCCTGGGGAGGGGGACATATAAGATTCTGCATGTAGATGTATGTCACATCTCTGACATGCTGGGCCCTGCCTTCCCCAGGCTCAGGAAACCACCAGCCCCACACTCAAGGGGCATTCTTGTCCTGGTAACCTCTGACCAGAGACAGACAGTTCAGGGGTCCATCCAGTCATTGGGTCCCATATGCAGTGAACAGGCATGAGGGCCCACAGGTGCTGGGCTCTGCTTCCACAGTGGCTGGCCTTTGGGTAGGGAGAGCAGGCAGGACTCTGGCCTTTCTAAGGAAGGTCAGCAAAGACCACGCTGTTTGCAGTCAGTGAGCCCGGGATGCCGAGCCTTGGGGGATGGATGAAGAAGGGGTAGTGAGCGCAATTACCATGTACCTGGTACCTCTGGCGGGCTGCAGGTTTCCTGTCTATGGATCTAACTCAGCCTGCATGGAGACACTGGTCTCTCCACTTCACTTTGCAGATGAAGAAACTGAGGTGCATAGAGACTAAATGCCTTGACTGAGGGTGCACAGTGAACAAGTAACCAAGCTTGGAAGTCAGCTCTTTCTGACTTAGATGCTTGACCGGTGGGTTGTAGGATTTGTTGGGCCCAACAGTTCTTGCCTCTCTTTGCACCAGAGGAGACCAGAGAGATGCTGGATTCTCTAGAGATGCACCAAAGCCCTGGACATGCTGTCTGCCCCTCATGCACTATTGTCCATCAGGCATTTGCCAGGCCTGTCCTGGGGCCCTGGAGTGGGTGAGCTGGGCTGCTGGGATGAGTGGGTCCAGCCCTGTCCTTGTCATACAGCAGGTAGGGCAGGTTGATATACTAAGAGCCTCCTCTGGCAGATAAAAGTGTGTCAAGGGAGGGAAGTGGCAGTAAGAGGGGCTGAGAACAAATAAATTGGGGAAAATGGGGTCTTCCTGGAAGAGGCAAGCCCAGTTTGGGCCTTGGAGAACAGGGCAGAGGGCAAAGTGGTCTCTCTACCCCAAGTGTGGATCGCTAGGTATCTGTGCTGGGGTATGGAAGGGATGAGGGAAAGTTGATTGCTCCTGTCCAGCCTGAGCTAGGGCTACTTACCTTGCACAAGTACCTGGACGAAGGCCTCGGCTAAGCCCACCTTGTTGGAGACTTGGCAGCGGTAGCGGCCTGAGTCCTCAGGGGCTGCGGGCTCAATGTGCAGCCGCTCCTTACTGACAGTCGCCCGCCCGGGGAGGCTGCTGCCCACGCGGCTCCACTGGAAGGTGAGTGGTGGAGTGCCATGTGCCAGGCACTGTAGCTGCACCGTCTCTCCTGCCCGCACTGAGGCATGTTCTGGGACTATGGTGGCATATGGTGGATCTGGGGTGGGGGGGATACAGGGGGTAAGGGTGAGGATGGGCAGAGGGCAGCAGGGATCTGGAAAAGCACCAGGGAAGGGGGACAGTGGGCGCAGGGGACTGGGGTTGGGGAGAGTAAAGGTCCCAGTAAGGCAAGTAGCCAGTGGACTGGGCAGGTTCTGGGGATTCTGTCCAGGGTGTGCTCTGGTAGGGTGCAGAGAGGGCAGCCATGGACGGGACAGGTAGCTTACTCTCCACATGCAAGACAACAGTAGCCTCAGAGTGCCCCAGAGGGCTGGTGGCATTGCAGATGTACTGGCCCGAGTCTTGCTGGGCGACCCTGGGGATGATCAGGGTGTTGCCTTCCAGCCGGTGCTGCCAGGGCAGTGGGGCACGTAGCTTGGACCAGTGGATGGTGGGCGTGGGGCTGCCTGTGCCAGACAGAGGGAGAGGGCAGAGGTTGGTGGGCTGCCCCAGGGACCATGTCCCAGGTAGGGGTGGAAGGGTACTGGATGGTCTTGTCACTCTGTGGGGAAGCCACCAAGTGGGTGCAGCCATTACTGGGAGATTCCAGTGGGCATGGTGCAATCTTCAGGTCTTTAACTCAGGCCTCAGGCACCACTGCTCTGCTGGCTAGTGGCCTGCCCCTCCCCACACCTGAGGCTGAGCAGCGCAAGGTGGCCGTGTGTCCAGCCTCCACGGTCAGCTCCACTTCTTCCACCTGGGCCTGGGGGGCGCCTGGGGCTACGGTGCCCATGTCCACAATCACTTCCACTTGCTTCTGTGCTGTGCCCAGTGCATTCTGAGCTAGGCACACATAGGTGCCTGCATCTGATGGCTTCACTGATGAAATCTGGAAGGAAGAAGCCACACTTGCTCAGCAGCTGAGCTGAGACTTGGATGCTGCTGCTCTCTGGTCTGGCTTTACCCCTTTCCCCTTCGCTTGGGCTCAGCTGTCCCATCTGGCTGCTCAAGTCTCATCCTGTGACAGCCCACCCATCCATTTGCTCTTCCTTCCCTTCTGTCTCTTCCCTCTCCCCTGTCACTGACACCACCCCTTGCCTTCTTCATCCATTCACACTCACCTGCCTTCCCTCACACCTTTCCGAAGCCCTTGCCCAAGCCTAGGTCCCAGGCTAAACCTTACACCCAGAGATGGCCTCACCTTGAGCACTGCGTGGCTGTCCACCATCCCAAGCGTCCATGGATCCAGCCTGGCAGGGTAGCCTACCCGGGTCCAGCGAGGGGCGGAGCGGGGCTCCCCACTGCTGACACACTCCAGGGTGACATCCTTGCCTGCCTTCACACGCACGGAGCCCTCAGGGAGCACAGACACTGTCGGGGGCCCTGCCCAGAGGAATGACAGCCATCAACACACTGGCAGGGCTCTGCTGATCATGAGGGCTGGCGCAGGCCCCAGCCTAGCCACCGTCTGCCCATTACACTGATGAGAACACTGAGGCTCAGGGAAGGGAAATGCCTGAGAGAGGATCTGTGGCAGAGGTGGGATTTGAACCTGTAAGTTCTGAACTGAGAATCAGGGTTGGCACAGGAAGACAAAGCCCTGGGTTGCTCACCGTGCACATTGAGGTTCACGACACTTTGGGCCACACCGTAGGCATTGGAGGCCACGCAGCGGTAGGCCCCATGGTTGCTGGGCCGGGTGCCCACGATGGTGATGACTGAGCCGTTGGGGCTGATACGGACATTGTCTGTTGAGGGGCAGTGGGGTGGGGGTGAGTGAGGGCCTTGGCACTGTCAACCCACACCTCTCAGCCCACACTCCTGGTCCCTTTGGCCTGGCAGCATTCAGCTTAGAGTCACAGAGGGCAGAAGAGGAAGGGGTCCTTGGAGATGTCTGGGTCCAGCGCCTCACTGTACAGATATGGGGACACTGATGTCCCAGGAGGGCCACTGAGTAATTTGTGGCACTTCCCTCACCCCTGGCCTCGCGTGCCACCTTGGACCTCCCCTTTGCATGCCTCTGGCCCATCCACCTGCCTGACTCACCTTCCAGCTCTTGGTTCCGTGTCTTCCACTCCAGGTTGATGGGGGTGGCCCCATCGTGGATGAGGCACTTGAAGCTGGCATCTTGGCCCTGCTGCACGGTGCTGCTGGGTGGGTCAATAGAGATGACTGGGCTCCTGAGGCCTGGGGCCAACGAGGCAGAGGGTTCAGTTCAGCAGGAGTGGGCTGGCTCCACTCAGGGTCCTCCCTTCCTTGTCCTGCCCATGGCAGCCCCCATACTCACGGTAAGAAGACCCCTCGCTGGGTGGGACAGTGACTGTGAAGGAAGCCTCCTGCTCAGGGCCTGAGCTGCCTGCCACACGGCACACGTACTCGCCCGAGTCAGCAGGGGAGACATGGTGAAGCCTCAGAATGGAGCCATGAGTCTGTCGAGGTGGGGAGGAGGGAATCCTCAGGGCTGAGAGCCTTGAGGCAGGCAAGTTCCCAAGCCCAGCTGTGCCAGGACCCAAGATGTTCCAAAGGGCTTAGAAGCTCAGGGCTCCAGCTGCTGGGGCTATGAACTGATTCATTCCCAAATTCCCAGAGCTTCTCCCGGGGCTACGGGTGGAGGTGGGTGGGAGTGGGAGGGCAGGGAGTAAGACACAGGAAAGTACTTTGCCAGCACAGTGAGGAGAAAACTCAGGCCTCTCAGCTTCCAGGCTGGCAAACCACGTGTCCCTCTGTTTGCATGAGCACTGGGGCAGCTGCACGGCGAACTGGGTCTGCTCTGGAATCATCCCCATCCTGGCCCCTGTACCTGGTGCTGGGCAGGGAGGCTGCCCCCACGCTTGTACCACGTAACCTGGGCATGGGCCTGCCCGGGTACCACGCAGTTCAGATCCAGGGTCTGCCCTTCGGCTACATGGGAGGAGGAGGCCTCAATGTAGATGGGCTGGGCCAGTCCTGGAGCTGTGGGTACAAGGGTGGGTCAGAGAGCCCACCTTAGGCGGTGGCACTGGAGATATAGCAGTTTCAGGGTGGCTGCCACAGGACCTGAAAAGTCTCCATTTTCTGGGGGCTCAGAAGTCACTGAGACCAAGGACCAGGCTCCCACTGGTGGAGGGGAAGGGCAGGGAGGCCACCAGGGACTGGAGACACACAGGAAACTCACGAGGGCTTTGGTTATATATCTGTGAGCATCCAGGCTGGCTTGATCCTTTGCCCCAAGCAACACCGGGGTGTATATGGTGGTAAAGGGGGTTAACTTGCGACCTGGTATGCCCCATTCCATACTGGCATGTTGGATACTCAGTGCTTCTGATTCAGTTTCCTGTAATGACCTAGCCCTGGGTGCTAGGGTCATTTGGAAAATGAATCAGCAAATGAAATCAGTTTTTGTTCTCTCTGTCTCTCTCTTGCTCTATCACTTTCCTTTCAAATATTTTTTTTCCAGAGATTTAGGAAAAAAGACAAGTCCTACTGGGGCAGCAGGGAGGAGCAGGGCCAGGAGGGGGCCCCAAGTCTGTGCCCGCAGCTCCATGTCACTCACCAGGAATCGGGGCTGGGCTGGCAGGCTCGATGGAGACCAGGACAGAGGCCTCCAGGACACCTGAGCTGCCGACCACTCGGCAGGTGTACTCGCCGGAGTCAGCAGGGGACACCTGGTTCAGTCTCAGAGTGTGGCCGTGAACCTGGCCAAGTGGAGGTGAGAGTGAGGAGGGCAGCCAAGTCCTATGGTCCCAGTAGCCCAGGACTGTCTCACGCAGCAGCACAAGCTATATACTCAGACATTAAATGCTCAATGTGCCAGTTTTTTGGTTTCTGGTAGGAGCAAGTCAAGGGTCTTGGGCAAGAGGTGTCTCATTTTTTTTCTGCACCTTGGCTCTGGCACACGTGGAAGCCCTGCGTGTCTGGTCTGTGCCTGCCCTCTGATACCAGGGATCTCTTGCTTCATCTCTCAGCCCCCATGGTGGGGTTCTCTCCCTGTGTCCCCTTCCTTCCCTTTGGGGATGGATTTGGGCAGGTCTCCTGCCTCTTACCTGGTGCTGGGCGGGGAGGCTGCCCCCACGCCGATGCCACGTGACCTGGGCATGGGCCTGCCCAGGCACCACACAGCTCAGATCCAAGGTCTGCCCTTCAGCCACACGGGAAGAGGATGTCTCGATGCGGATGGGCGGGGTTCCACCTTGGGCTGAGGCACAGGGAGATTGTGAGCTGGGACTCCCAGGCTGTGCCTCAAGCCTTGCTGGTGTGCCCAGATGTGCAGGCCTCCCGGGGACCGGCTGCATTCCACTGAAGCCTGGACCAGCTGAGCTAGCCTGGGGGTGGCAGCAGATGCTCTCCCTTGCCCCACCATCACCTCCTCCAGCACTCGGTGCCAGTCTCCTGCATTGGGAGCACCAGTACTCCCCAAACTGGGATTGTGTGGAGTGAAGAACACAGACAGCTCCACGTGTAGAGAGAGGGCTTGGACTCTAGTCGTCAGATATCAGATACACTGAGCTCTTTCACCCTGACCTGGCTGCTCAGTCTAGGACCAAGGCCTGGGCAGGGCCTGAGGGGCAGCAGCCTCTGGGACTCGGCCTGCCAGGCTCTCTGCCCCACTACCAGCCTCCCAGCCCCATGCAGAGACCCTCACCAGGGACACGGACGGCACCAGCATCAGAGGCCTCGATGGTGACCAGGACTGAGGCCTCCAAGGGGCCAGAAGTGCCCAGCACGCGGCACACATACTGGCCCGAGTCGGCTGGGGACACCTGGTATAGCCGGAGAGTTGAGCCATGGGTCTGAGAAGGGCCAGGACAGGGAGAGAGGGGACAAAATAAGATGCTGACGTAGGACTCTTGCAGGCCTGGGTCAGGGGGCTGACTTCTGATGCAGGTGGGCTTGGCATCCAACAAGGGCTGCTACCAGGCCACACCCGTGACCCTCCCACCACTTCTGACCAGCCACATGCTTACCTGATGGTGGGTGGGGAGGCTGCCTCCACGTTTATACCAAGTAACCTGGGCATGAGCCTGACCAGGGACCACACAGTTCAGATCCAATGTCTGCCCTTCGGCCACATGGGAGGAGGAGGACTCAATTCTGATGGGTGCAGCACCGCCAGGGGCTGGAGAAGCAAGACAAGTGAGTCAGGGCTTGGTGGCAGTCCGATCTGGGAACTGGGTCATGGTAGCACAGCCACAGAAATTCCCATGCCCCAGAGTAACAACCAAGATTCGCTATAGGCAGCATTTGCAGTATGCCAGGCACTGGCTAACCAAGGCACCATACGTGCAGTAACTCTTGTACCCCTCGAGACTCATGGAGATGCAATGCTCCTTTTTTTACTCTATCAGACTCACCAGAGGGGTTGCTGGGTCTGGGGGAGACTGAGACCATGATGGAGGCCTCCTGGGCATCGATGTTGTTGTTGGCCCGACACACGTACTCTCCTGAGTCGGCCACGGACATCTGGTGCAAACGCAGGTGGGAACCGTGGGTCTGGGGGTGCAGATATGGGAGATGGGGAGAGAACAAGGAGTCACAGGTCACCAGCTGGCTCTGGACTCCTTTGTCAGACTCACTGAGATGCCTTCTGTTTCCTTAGGGCCCCAGGTTGCTGGGGTGTCCAGGGCATGAGAGAGGGAGCCTGCAGGGCTGCTCCCTGCACTGGCCACCCTGCTGCCTCGGCCCCACTCTGTACCTGGTGTTGGGAGGGCAGGCTGCCTCCACGCTTGTACCACGTGATGGTGGCCTGGGACTGCCCGGCGACCACACAGTTCAGATCCAAGGTCTGTCCTTCAACTACAGTGGGGGACGAGGACTCGATCCTGATTGGTGGGGAGACACTGGGCACTGGGGATAGAGGGGTGTGGGCCACACAGCCAGTGTCAGAAGAGAAACTGCCCCGGGGACCTCCCTGCCTCCCCTGCCCCCTGCTCTCTGCACTCACCACGGGAGGTGCCACTGCCCTGAATGGTGACAATGAGGGAAGTCTCCTGGGAACCGATGCCGTTGCTGACGTGGCACACATACTCGCCAGAGTCTGCGGGGGTCACCTGAGGGATCCGTAGCCGGGAGCCCACAATCTGGAGGGAACAGGGGTCAGTGAATACCAGGGGTAGGGGCACCTCTCCATCATAGACTCTGCTGCTGCCGCCTCCTGTACCCCAGGAGCCCCTTGTGCTGCCTGGGGCCGGGCCTGGGGCTCCCAGCTAGTGTGTGGCCTGGCCCTGGCTGGCGGACATGGCCTCCAGATGCTTTTCTCACTTAGCCCCTCCACAAAGCATGCTGAGTCCCTGCCTGAAGTGGCTAAGGTGCCCTGTGTGGCACTGTCATCTGCCAAATCTGCCTCCCTCTGGACCGCAAAGAACCTGAGCATAGACACTCATCTTCCACTGGGACCCGCAGTGTGAGGGCCAGGACTTGGCCCAAGCAGGCAAGTTGAGTAAGCAGGTGCACCTGGTTGAGGTCAGTAGCATGCATCTCAGTAGCCTAGCACCTGTCCAGACCCACCCAGCAAGGATGTTCTATGTTTGCCGAATGACTGAATGAGCACACTTAGAGACTCTGAAAGCCCTTTAGCTTGCTAGTCAGGTCAGGTACACTCTGTTTTACAACCCATTCCCCCACTGGCCACCAGTCTGCTGGCTCTGTACCTGATGCCGACTGGGTAAGCTGCCTCCACGCTTGTACCAGGTGATGGTATGGGGGGCTTGACTGGCAACTATGCAGTTGAGGTCCAGAGTATGGCCATTGGCCAGTGAAGTGGATGAAGACTCAATGCGAACGGGATACACCACAGCCTGGGCTGAGAGGGTGAGATGAAAGGAAGGTAGGGTATGGAAGCCGCTGGGGTTGAACCCTAAGGCCATTTACCAGGAGCCCTGACCCTGAGACACTCACGGTGGGAGGGTCCCGGGCGTTGCTGGATGGTGACAAGGACTGAGGCTTCCTGGGTGCCTGAGCTGCTGACCACACGACACACGTACTCCCCAGAGTCGGCTGGGGTCACCTGGGGCAGCCGCAACCTCGAGCCATGCACCTGACATGGGTGGGAGGGAGGAGGCAGGATCTGAGCCTGGCCCCAGGACTCACGGCCAGCCTCCTGTTCCTCTTCCTGGCCCCTCCGGCTCATCTGGGAGCTGATCTCTTAGTTCCTCTCCCTCAGTGTGAGGACAGGTACAGCCTTCAACCTTACCTAGCCAGGACTGCTAAGACTTAGAAAAAGTTGGGGACCAGCAATGTGAACCAGCAAATGCAGATGTGTGTAGGGTAAGCGAGCATGTCTGACAGATGTGGGATTGAGAATTAGGGAAAGCAAGTGACTGGAGTGGGGCTGGGACCAAAGCTCCTTCACACCCCAGTGTGTGACCCCACAAATACCTACTGTTGGGCCCCTCCTTGGCTCCCCAGCTCCTACCTGATGTTGGGCAGGGAGGCTGCCCCCACGCTTATGCCACGTGATCTGGGCATGGGCCTGCCCAGCAACGAGGCAGTTCAGATCCAGTGTCTGTCCTTCAGCCACATGGGAAGATGATGACTCAATCCGGACTGGGGGGGTAACTCCGAGTGCTGGAAACACAGGGCAGGGAGGTGAGGAACCGTGAGTGTGGCTGGTGTGGGGAGCTTCCCAGGGTGGGACCCCAGCCCTCTACTGGCTTGCAACAGCACTCACCAGGCACAGAGCTCTCTGGCTCAATGGTGACTAGGACGGAGGACTCCAAGGGCACGGAGCCACCCACCACACGGCACACATACTCGCCCGAGTCAGCAGGGGACACTTGGTGCAGCCGCAGCAGCGAGCCGTGGGTCTGGCCAGAGTGAGGGGAGGTCAGAAGGAGCCCTTGTGGGACCCTGCCACCTGCAGCCCCGCTTACCCTCTGACCCCTGTGGCTGGCTATCAGCGGGGGGTTCAGGTTTTCTATCCTGCCTAGTGGTGGGGAAAGAGCTCTGGTCCCAGCTCACTCCCAATCCGTACTAAGACACACCTGTAGCCCCCTGCAATCAAGAGCTAAAACGAGGGAGCTGACCGCTATCTATGGGAGCTTCTCTCATTCCTCAGCTACCAGAATAATGGTGCATCTTGTAATGGTTCTAAGATGCACATGACAGAGCGATAACGACAGCTGCTGGTGTTGTGGTAGCAATTATAGTTCCTGGTCCTCCCCGTGAGCTGGTCTCTCTGTACTTTACATGTGCATTAATTACCCTCATCTTTAAGAGAATCCTAAAAAGCTAGGACTATTACACATATTACTGTTCCACAGATGCTGTAATTATGGCACATAGAGGTTAGGCATCCTGTTCAAGATGACGAACTAGTTAGTGGGGAACTTGGCCCAGGGTCCAAGGTCTCCCTTTGGAAATCCCTAGTTCCTTCACAATCCAGGGACCTCCCCCTCCTGCTTCTTGCCCCATGTATACCCTTCAGCTCCACACCTGATGCCGGGCAGGGAGGTTGCCCCCACGCCGATGCCATGTGACCTGAGCATGGGCTTGTCCAGGTACCACACAGTTCAGATCCAGGGTCTGCCCCTCAGCTACGTGGGAGGAGGAGGATTCGATGTGGATGGGCTGGGTTCCACCAGAGGCTGGGGGATGAGATGGTCACTGGTTACTTTAGCTCTCTAAAGCACCCCCAGCCCAACCTGGGCCTCTACCCAACCCCACTCACAGTTGACATTGATGGGCGCCCGTGTCCTGGTTACTCTGACAGTGATGGAGGCCTCCACACCATTGCTGGCACGGCACACATACTCCCCTGCATCAGCGGGTGAGATCTGGAAGATGTATAGGCGCGAGCCGCGGACCTGGGCAGTGGAGGGCAGTGGTGTGAGTGCGGGGCTTTCTGTAGCCAAGCAGAGGTCCTCTGTTGCCCTGAGCCAACAATCACCAGCCCCCAAGCCCAGGATCCAGAACCCCCAACACCAACTGTACTCTGTTCCCTCCCACCTTCCTGGGGAGGTGTACCTGGTGCCGGGCAGGGAGGCTGCCCCCACGCTTGTACCATGTGACTGGGGCATGGGCCTGCCCTGCCACCACACAGCTCAGATCAAGAGTCTGTCCCTCAGCCACCGTGGAGGAGGAGGACTCAATCCTGACGGGTGGGACAGGTCCTGGGGCTGTGGGAACAGGGGCCCAGGTAGAAGATGCTCCCCAGGAGAGAGCAGAAACTGCCTCACCTGGGCTCCAAGGCCGGGCCCAGGTCTGGGGGTATTTGGTGGCCTGGGCTTGAGGCCCTCAGTTCAGAGACCCTAATGGAGGATCTGAGAAGGCTTTGTATGGGCGTGGGAGGGTCAGGGCGTGAGGCAGGCAAGGACAGTTGAGGCTTGAGACCCAGAGGTAGGTGTGGCAACATGTGGAGTGGTGTGGCCAATGACATGTGTGATGCAAAGACAAGGATTCTTGTCTCAGACATAGGGAAACTGCAGGGCAGGGTTGGTAGCCAGTACTAACATGAGCCATCTTCCCCAGCTGCCTGGGTTTCAGCCCTGGAAGGCTTTTAGCCTCCTTCAGCTGTCTGTGGTGTCAGGAGTCACTCACCAGGGACAGAGCCAGAGGCCTCGATGGAGACCCGGACAGAGGTCTCCAGGGGTTCAGAGCCGAGGACTACGCGGCACACGTACTCGCCCGAGTCAGCGGGAGACACCTGGTGTAGTCGCAGCAGCGAGCCATGGGTCTGTGGGACATTGGGGTGTGTTGATAAGGAGGGGGTCAACACAGCCCTGGCCAACCCCTCCAGCAAACTGGCTTTGAGGGGCTACTGTACCTGGTGCCGGGTGGGGAGGCTGCCCCCACGCCTATACCATGTGACCTGAGCATGGGCTTGCCCAGGCACCACACAGTTCAGATCCAAGGTCTGCCCCTCAGCTACATGGGAGGAGGAGGATTCGATGCGGATGGGCTGGGTGCTGCCTGCAGCTGGGGTTCAGAGACTGGTTAGAGACCTGGGCTTGGGATGTCCCCAGCCTAGCCCTCTTAGCCCACAGTAGGCAGTGGAAGGTCAAGGGCAGTTGATGGTCCTCTCATCCAAAGCCACTGACAGACCACAGGAGGCCTCCCTAGGAGCAATGAGGAGACCCTTGGGCTTAGCCCTTTCCAGCCCCACCAGCCTCCTTACCTGGGACATTGTTGGGGCTCGTGTGGGTGCTGTGGAGGACAGAGATGGTGATGGTGGCTTCCTTGTGGCCTGCCCCATTCTCTACTCGGCACACGTATTCTCCTGAATCAGCACGTGAAACCTGCAGAAGCCGCAGCCGCGAGCCATGCACCTGCGCCAGGTGAGACAGAGAGGCGTGAGGACAGGGCCGACGGTGCCTACAGTCATAGCTCTGTTCAGAGCCACCCACACCAGATGCTGGTGAGAGAGGAAAAGTGGCCCCAGCCCCGCTGGCTGAGAGGGTGGGGGCAGTGTGAGGCTCCTCCTGGGCACAGGCCATGACCTGCCAGAGCTCCTGCATCCCAGCTCCTGCCACAGGTTGGGGCACCCTCCTACCTGTGCATGGGGGGGCAGGGTGCTCCCTCTCCTGTACCACGTGACCTGGGCATGGGCTGAACCTGCCACTACGCAGTTGAGGTCAAGCGTCTGCCCTTCAGTCACAGAAGGAGATGAGGACTCGATCCTGACCGGAGGTGGTGAGTGGTCACCTGAAGCTGGGGACACAGGAGGGTTAAGTGGGTGTCTGAGGTGCCTTAGTGTGCCCTCCCTGTACCCTCTACTCCTGGGATCCCCGCACCTGTGAGGACGACAACCTGGATGCGGGCCTGTGCGGTGCCTGCAGGGCTGGTGGCCACGCAGAGGTAGAAGCCAGCGTCGGCGGCAGTGATGGCTGGGATGAGCAGTGTGGCAATGTCCGTGCGCTCAGACCTGGCCTGCACATATTGGGAGGAGTCAGAGGTTGCTTGGCAAGGGTGAGCAAGCCAGGAAGGTGGGGACACATAGGTGAGAGGTAGGCATGGAGCTCATGTCAGGGCCCAGTGGTGCTCCAAAGAGGATGGAGCTGGGCTGACAAAGAGGCTGATGGGTTCCTGCCTGGCTGCAGGGTTTGAGTTGGTTGTCATCCTGGGAAGTGCATGGAGCCAGAGAGGAGATGGGGAGAGGGTAGGCAGTGGCGGTCAGGATGCTGCTAAACCTGTTGGCCTAGGGGTGGGGTTAGACAGGCTCACCTGAGGGGGCAGGCTGCCCCCTTCCTTCTTCCATGTGATGGTGGCACTGGGTACTCCTGCAGCTCTGCAGTACAGCCTCACAGTGTGGCCTTCATGCACCTGGGTCCTCTCTGGACTCACCTGGACCCGAGGTCCACTCCCCCCTGTAAGTGTGTGGTGTGAACACCCGTTTGGCCACTCACGGGCTCCCAGCTGTGCCCTCTCCCAGCCTGGCCCACTCACCGTGCACATGGAGCACAGCCCTGGCCACGTGCTGCCCAGCGCTGTTGTGGGCTCGGCATAGGTACGGTGCCTGATCTGAGGGCTCGACAGCCGTCAGGCGCAGGATGCCGCCACTGACTTGGGCCTTCTGGGGGAGCTGGCCACCAGGGCCTCCTGGGGGGGGACACAGAGTCAGTGCTCAGGGGAATGACACTGCTCTGGCCCTCTGGGGGATGCTGAGTGCATAGCCTCTGCCTTCTCAGGTCTGCGAAAGCCCGGCCCTCCATGTCATTCCTGTTCATTCCTCACCTATCCATTCAAGGTTTGGTGTGGGGTTCCCAGTGGCGCTGCAGCGGAACTCGGCCAGCTGACCGGGCTGCACTGTGAGCTGCGGTGGGTGGATGGAGACCATGGGGGCAGTTGAAGCGCCCGAGGCTGAGAAGGGAGGAGAAGGGAAGTGTGGTCAGACCCATGGCCACAATTTCCTTGTTTGCTGCTCTCTGTATTCCTTCAAGCCTTCTGGGGCCAGTCCTTGCTGCTCTAGCAGCGGCCAGCGGGAGCATCTGTATCACTAATGGAGTCTTGCTACTTCCCCAGAAATGGCTGTTCATGGCTCCTTGTGGATTTTTAGGAGTAAATCCAAGTTCCCAGAGTGATTCCACTCTCCCCTCTGCCTACGACTTCAAGTTCTTCCCTCAACTCCAGCCATGCTGGCGGTGATGCTCCTCCAAGGCACCAACACATTCCTGCCATCCCATGTGCTGCTCTGGCTGGGAGCAAAGGCCTGCCCTGCTAGGCCTTTGATGGACTCAACGCCTTGCGCTTCTGGTCCAGCTTGGTATCACTTCCTCAGAGAGGCCCTCCCATCTACATCTTGCTTTCTCATCACCTTGTCAATTCCTACTCTGGTACTCCTCCGCATGTGTGATTATCTTATTGTCCCTTTGTTCCCATGCTATTGTCTTCCCAGCTAACACATATATCCCAGGACTGCTGAAAACCATCTGTCCTTCCTCAAGGTCTAGGAAGGACTGGGGCTTCCTAGTTTAGGGGTTGGCGATTCTGGGTATCCAGCAAAGATCCTCTGCCTGAAGACATGGGGCCCTGGTGGGCATGGAGGATGAGAGGCCTACTCTGCACATGCAGTGTGGCGGTGCCCTGGTCCATGGCGAACATGTTGGAGCCAGTGCACACATAGGTGCCCGCGTCGCTTGGCTGCACGCCACGGATGGTCAGGATGCCGTTGAAATCCATGGCTCGTGAGGGCAGCTTGCCATTGTGCAGGCGGGTCCACACTAGGGTGTAGGCTGGGGACTGCAGGACAAAGGAGACAGAGTGAAGATCACAGGGAAGGCCAGAGATCCTGGGACACAGACCCTGTGCTGCTCCACGGCCTGCCCTGCCCACCTTGCTCTTGGCTGTGCAGATGAAGGTGACATCAGCTCCAGGGCGCACGCTCTGGCTTCGCTGCTCCTCCACTGTCACTGTGATGGGCTTGCTTGGAGCCTCTGTGGGGACAGGAAGCCAACCAGGTCCACATCCTGTGGCTATTACCTTCTCTGGGGCATCACTCTGTCTAGTCTAGCTTAGATGCCAGTCCACTCCCCGCTGCCTCCTTCCCTCCTCCTGGCTGAACCCGACAGCTCACATTCCTCTCTGCTGGTGCTGGGCAGCCAGCGCCACGTGGTTGGAGAAGGTCCCACCACGAGCCTGTGGGCTCCAGGGCTTGAGAACAGACCACGAACAAGCTTCTAATTCTTCACACTTTGCTCTGAGTGGGTTCTCCATCTGGTACAAGCACTGAGCCTCCCCAGCAACTATTTCACAACTCCTCCCAGCTCCTCCATTCCCTACGCACTGCACCCTTCCACTCACACAGCCAATAGCGTCAACTCGGCTCTTGCTGAGAAAATGCAATGACTTTTCACAGGCGTTCCCATCTTTCCACATCTGCCCTTTTTTCTTTTCCTGGTCCCTGGAGGACAGGTCCTTTCTACTGTCCCTTCTGAGGGCTGGCCCTCTCCCACAGACTCCTGTAACTCCTCTCTCCCTTCCTGGGATCATCCCACCCCAAAGCCATGTGTGTTCTGGGATTCCTGGCATGAACCCACTCCACAGAAACACATGTTCTGGGATTTCTCATTCCTGAAAATGAACCTGTGATCCCACACTCTCCCAGCCTCTGCCCATGTTCTGGGCTCCCTTCTGAGCTAAAACTCCAGGGAGTTTTCTGCACTTGCTGCCTGCCCATTCATTCCTTGTCTGATCTCCACCCCTCTCTGTCGACAGCTGCTTTTCTCAAGGCACAGCTCCAGGGATTCTTTCTCTGCCCGTAGCTTCCTGCCTAGTGGCTGCTGGGGAGATGCCAAGCTCTCCTGGCAGCCGTTCCCCCTTCTGACTTCTTCGATGCCACCCTGCCCTGTCTTCTGCCCGTCTCGCCAGCTATACACTCGGTTCTTCTGCAGATGGACAGATGCACTGAGAGCTCCCTAGCCTCTGTCCTGGCTCCTATTTGCTTCCAGCCACACAGTTTTCTGGAGACCCACTTCTCCAGCAAGGGTCTCCTCTCCACTTTTCAGATTCACATATCTAAGCAGATATCACACCCACATTTCTAACTTCATTAAATTCAGGCCACATTTGTGACTTCCTTTGACCTGCTGGTGGCATGGGCTGTAGGTGCCTTACCTCTCCACAGTGCCAACCTGGCTGCCTGCCTGATTTCTGCCAGCTCCTGTTCTTGCATGAAGGGCTTTCTCAGACCTCTGAGCCCACTGTGCACACAGGGAAATTGCCACTCCTGGCATAGGCCTCAGCCACTGACTGATGGGCGCTGGCATGCATAGCCCCCACCTCCCTGAACAGAGGGTAGGGTGACTGAGGTGCATGCTCTGCACAGGCTCCTAGGGTCCTTGGCTGCATTGGGCAACGACTGCTGATGGCGCAACTTGCTTGATGATGTCCCTTTTATTGGATACTTTCTCCTTCTTGTTTTTGGAGCCTTCCTTGAATTACTCGCACACGGTTCCTTATCTGACTCTGCTTTTTTGGGAGCCCAAATCTAGACATTCCCCCTTCTTGGGGCTGCTTCTGCAGGGACTCACCTGTGACCAGTAGCTCTGCCCGGCTGGTGTTAACATGGTGAAGGCTACGGCAGGTGCAAATGTAGACCCCAGCGTCGGAGGGCTGGACGCTAGGGAAGTGGAGCTCAGAGCCTGAAGGGAACGGATGGGGGCTTATGGATACAGGTGTTGCCCATTTCTCATCCAGCCCTATGTACAAGGGCAGGACTTCCCCTCCCATGGGTGATTCATGGAGTCAAAAAGTGTGGGGTCATGGGTACCTTGATGTCGCTGTTGGGTGCTGCTGGGTACAGGCCGCCCATCTTCACGGGACCAGTAGAAGTAATGGGGTGGGCTCCCACTGACCTGGCACCGCAAGGAGTGGGGGCTGCCCTGGGGTACGATGCTCCGAGCAGGGTGGACCTGGACCACCAGTGGGGCTTGGTCTGCTGTGGTGGGAGACAGTAGAGGCCTTTCAGCCTGGAGGGCCCTGGCCCACACTTCGTTGCAAACAGCTCTTTTGTGTCAAAGACCGCAGCAACTCCCCCAGGGCCCAGAACCGTGTCCTCTAAACTCCCCAGACTAACCACCTTGCCCATCACCCGACTCACTCTGTGGCAGGCAGCGGCCCCCTTGCACGTTGGGGTTACCCACATAACCTGGGGCACACCTACAAGGAGGAAGAAGGATCAGTACTGTCAAACCATCAGGGGTCCAATGCTTCACAAGGAACTTGGGGAATCAGAAACCTCTGGTGTGGGGTGAGGAGGCTCAGGTCTCTGGAAGGACTTAGAGACCAAAATGGAGAATAAGGGAGAGCATTAGCATGCTTGGGATGGCATGGCTGAGGCCCACCGAGGGAAGGGGGGAGCTCCTGGTTCCGCAGTGAAATGAGAGTGAGGACAGCACAGCACAGGAGGGTTTGGAGGCCCCTGAAGGGTCTGCCATTCACCAGGTCCCTTTGCTCTGCTGTCTGCAAACTTACTGCTCACAGTACTGGCCAGTGTAGCCAGGCTCACAGGCTGTGCAGCGGTACCCGTTGCCTCCAAGGCTCTCACAGGTACGGGAGAACCTGAGCAAAGGGGAAAGGGGTGGCAAAGGTCAGGCCACAGGAAGCCCCAGCCTCCACCCTTCTCCCCCCACTTCTGATTTGAAACTCAAAGCAGGGCCCATCTTTCCCTGGCTGCCCTATGGGAGCTGGCCCTCAGGTCTAGAGCGAGGACACTTACATGTTCTCTGGATTGGTGAGTGGGCAGGCACAGGGCTGGCAGTCCTCTGGTGTCCCAGCTGTGGCATCTCCAAAGTAACCAGGGGCACACAGCTCGCAGAACTCCCCAGCAGTGTTGTGCTGACATTGCTGTGAGGCACAAGTATATCAGACTGCAGCCCTCCAGCAACAGGTCTATAAAACCTTGCAAGTGCAACCTCTTGGTCCACCAATTCTAGGCATGTGAATCTACCTTACAGAGCTAACTGTGGAAGGGGACAAAGACTTCATTACAAGGCTGTGTACTGATGTGATGTGGGAACAAAATAAACATTCATGAATGAGGAACTGGGTAAGTAGGAAAGGCCACTTGGGGTTGGTATACCAGCGGAGGTACCCTCATCCCCTTTCTGAGTGCCTGGATTCCAGCTGTCTGCTAATGCACACCCCAAGGGGCAGCAGACAAGAGCTCACATACTTGGGTCCTTGCCACCCAGGTGGGAAACCCGGAAGATGTTCCAACTCTTAGTGTTAGCTTGGCCCAGCCAGCATTTGGGGACTGGAAGCTCCCTATCTTGCATCTCAAATAAAAGTAATAAATATAAAATTTTTTTTAAAAATCCAAATAATTATGAAAAAGAATGATGATGATAATTCTGACCCTTTTCTCCCTAGAAACCTGCAATATTAAAGAAAAGTCAAGCTACACACAGGCTTCAGTGTAGGTTACACATTCGCCTTCAAAGAGACCTGGGTCGGCTGTGGGAACATAGCATGCTGCTTGCTCCAGCTTGAGCCTGTGGTTCTGATAGCTACCCAGCCCCTGACCATGACTCCAGGAGGGCACTGCAACACTCTGAAAAGCCCAGAGGTTAAAAAAAAATCACAACAAAACCCAAACAACACTAGAATGCTATGGGGAGGTGTGCAGGCATCGCTAAGTGGAAACGGCTGATTAGTAAGTCCTTGGTTGATTCGTAATTGGAAAGTGTACACTTCAGTGTCACCCTCTAGGCAGGAAGTTGATTTGCTTTTCGGTGCATCTATCTGGTCTGACTCCTCTATCTTGGTGTCACTTTGATGGTAAGAGACCAACATCGAGAAAGAACTGAAGTTTTTCAGTAAGAACCAAATGTTTGTCGGTATGTTGGTTTTTGTACAAAGGACATTGATACACAGCTCCAGCCCCGCCCGTAGGCTGTGTTCCATGATCCTGTCCTAGATTCAGGCCTGTTTTGCTAAGTCCACCCTGCTCTAGCACCAGGTCTCCCACCCAGGCCCAGCAATCCTCTTGATCCTGCCCCAGCCTGGCTGGCACTCACCGAGCAGGCCCCGGTCTCAGGGTGGCACAGGTCCGAATGCCCATTGCATTCGCACAGCTCGCAGTGGCCGAGGTAGAGGCCATTCTCGGTGCGCGTGTAGCCAGGGGCACAGTCCTGGGCAGCAAAAGAAGAGGGTTCATTTCCATGCCCGACCCTGGAGTAGCACCCAGTAAGCTGACCCTTCATCCCTCTCCCTCAAGCATCCCCTTCGGTATCTAGACTCCCAGCTGTGGAAATCCAAGGTCCAGCCAACCAACCAGAGCCCTCCTTGAGAACCCCAGGCCCTCATTTTTCCCCTTTGCTCCCTTAACCCTTCACAGTAGGGGCAGTGCCTCCCCCATCCTGCCACATAGCTCTGCCTTCTCTGAATTTGGTGAAACCATACTTCACCTGTAATGAAGGATGCCTCCCTATCCCTGGGTTTCCATTCCCTGAAGTTCCTTCCAGCAGCAAGAGTCCTGCCTAAAAATCCCCACGCCTACAGGCAAAGAGCAGGTCTGGGAGGCCCAGACTCAGAAGGAAGCCCTGCAGATTCCTAGGCCTGCAATGCCCTTCATTAGAGAGAGACTGGAGCACGTGACACCCAGGAAGGTTTACACGCACTGGGCATGAGCAATCACAGGCCATGCAACCAGGCCTTTCTCCGCAGCACCTGCTCCCCAGGCTGTCCTAGCCACCACTTCAAAGCCAGGCCTGGGAACCTGTCTACTTCACTGCAGCACATGTGCACCAAGGGTGGTGTTGCCTCCTTGAAGACGTGTTCACCTTCCTCACTTCAAGGAACATGAGAATTCATGTGCTGGGGCTGGACTGGGACCTCTCGAGGTCATGGCTGTGAGCAGATGGAAAGTAGCAGGGACGTGGACTTCCTGCTGCGCATGTGCTGTGTCACGCTTCCTCTCCCTGACTTCAGTTGGGTGCCTGTCCTCAGCCCTGCCCCCCGTGCCCTTCCCTTCATGCCAGCCTCCCACTCCAGCTTCCTTCCTTGCCTGCCCATCTCTGTCAGCCTCAGCCCAACTCTGCTGGACCCCAGGGTCCCCTACCCCATGTCTGTCTCTCTATACATGTTCATGCTTTGCTCGGGGCTGGCCATTTGCTTCTCTAGTTTGTTTCGGAGGGCACAAGGCACATGTTGGATCTTAACCTCTAGAGAACATAGCCCATCCTGAGGCAGTACTGCTTCATGATTAGGACATACGAGGCCTTGGTGCCCACAAGATCTGGGTTCAAATAAGTTCCTGGGGTGAGTTACCCATCCCTTAGTATCTCAGTTTTCCCTTTCCAATCCATTAAAGCAGATAATTGCATGTCTCTCTGAGATGTTAGGAGGAATGTATGAGCAACCAGTTGTGAATCATGGGCTTTGGCATGCCACGTGACCAGTTGTGCCTGAGTAGAGGGGTCAAGCCAGCCACATACTCACCTGGCAGGACAGGCCCATGTAGCCTGGGGGACAGTGGCATTCTTCCACTTCCAGGGCCCGGGGTCCGTCAGAGGGCCCGGGCTGGGCGACCTCAAGACTCACAGCACTGATGCTGGCTGCCAGCGGCACTGAGGAGAACGTGGCCCGTACCAGGATCTCATCCAGGTCAGCCAAAGCCATCAGCAGGTGCTCACGAGTGGCCGGCTGTCCATCGGGCCGACGCCAGAATTCCTGTGGGGTTGAGGAGGAGGAGGGAATGGCCAAAGTGGGTAAGGGGCACTTGGCTGTGTGTGAGGCTCCTGCAGTCCCTGCCCTCAATGCCTTGCCTTCCTGGCGCTGAGAGGGAGGATGGGGGAGCAAGGCTTGTGGCTGGCAGAGTCAATGTCAGACTCTAAATCGGGGGTGGGGGGCAGTGCCTCTTACCTCCCTGAAGATGATCTCGTAGCTCTTCCTCCCTGGGCCCTGCAGCGTGGGCTGAGAGGCCACCAGCATGATGTTGTTGCCCTAGGAAGACACCAATGGGATTGAGATGATCACAGAGGGGTTCAGGGAGATGAGGGGGGCGCTACCACTCATCGCAGACTGTAATACCCAGCTCCCCGCTCTCCCGAAGCAATCAGACACCCACCCACTGACCCTCCTCCCAGCAGCCATGGTGTCCAAGCAGGCAAGTGGAACTGGAGGGCTCGCTCTAGTTCCAGCCCAAGCCAGGCTAAATGTATGTGTTGTGCTGGAAGGCCAGCATACTGAGAGTGCCTGACTGCTCTCTCCGCCTCCTGCCTGCTGGGCAAGGAGTCTGAACACTCACCGTGATCTGGATGTCAGGGTCGGAGAGTGGGCTGCCCTGTGGTCCAGCCATGTAGGAGAGGGTATAGCGCAGCTTCCCGCCGTAAGCTGCCACCTGCGGAGGCAAGCCCAGGGGTTACAGGCTGACTTTGCCTTCCTCTGGAGCTGTGTGCTTGACCCGACAGGTGAGGGGCAGAGCCTCCTCAGGCCTTTTTGCACCTGTGCAGCACCCCTCCTCCAAGCTCAAGAAGCCAGTGCGCGTGGCCTGTGGATGCCCAAGAAGTGGGATATCTCTCAGCTCCTTCAGAGTCTTGGGCATAGGGGTGAGACCCTTGGCATCCTCTTTCCTGTTCTGTGGGATTCCCATTCTCCATTATCACAATCTCTGCATGTTCCTTTCCAGGTACCAAGATAACAATGCCGACCTGACACAGGAAGGCTACAAAGTTTCCAAGTTCTCAGCCACAAGTTTGAGGCTATTGTGGGGCTCCTCAGAGTCCACACCTCCTAGGCAAGTGGCTTTTGCTTTCCTAGAATCCAGTTTAACTTTTTGCATACTGCACCCTGGATTTCTCTGAACAACTCCTACCCTACCTGCAGGCCATGCGGTTTGAGGGGCCTGTCCATTCCCTGTTCCTCTGCAGGGTACAGTGAGCCAGGCCTGGCCCATCTGCACATGCCCTACCATGTGCTCTCTCAGCCCCATCAGGGATGGACAAGTGACTCTGGCCCTTCTCTTTCTACTGGAACAGAGAAATTTCCTTTTCAAGGCATATGAAAAGTTGGAAGGTGACACCAATGAAGAGAGAACCCTAATAAATTCCTGGGTCCAGTCTCCTTGATATCCAGATATCTTTGGATTTGCAGTTGTTTGAGCCAATGGGTTCTTGGTTGCCAACAAGCTGGTTAGACCTGGTTAGTCTAGCTGGAGACTCGAAGAATCCTTCTGCTGATTGCAGCGGACTTGCATGCCAGCAGCTGAGCTCCCAGCTTGACCCTCCGGGCAGGCATTCAGTCAGAACCACACTGTACCACATTTGCTCTGTGTGTTCAGTTGTGTGTTCATTCAGCTGGGAGGCATTCATCAAAGGCCTACAGACTACGTGCCAGGCCCTGGCCGACACAGGCCGCGGGGAGGTTCTTCACAAGCTCAGGGCGTGGTAAGGAATTCTAGGACATACCCAAATGACCATGAAACAATTGCTTTTCTGTTGGCTTTGAATGCCAGCAAGTTCAGAGCCATGCCTGGCACAGCTTTCTAGCAAGCTGCAAGCACATACAGCGCAGTAGTTAAGGAGTAGATGCATAATACGAAAGGCCCAGGTTCAAATTCCAGCTTTATTGGCTGTCTAACCTTGGACATACCACTTAACCTCTCTGAGCCCTACCTGGACGCATGGAGATGAAAATAAAATTAACACACACAAAAAAATATCACAAGGATCCCCTAACGTAGCACATGCAAAACAACGCGCTCAGCACAGTGCTAAGAACACACTGGTGCTTGATTCCTCTGATTCTTCTAGCCCCTCCCCTGGCTTCAGTCGGCCTCTTCTCCCCACACCTGTTCTGGGTGTTATCTCAAAGGCACCATACAGCACATGTAATTTTAAGGGGCAGTCTATACCATCTTGGAACAGAATGGAGGCAATCTCAACTCTAGCACTAATGCCAGTGTGTTCCAATGCTGACAACAATGTTGACAACAGGGAAGATAATGAGACTCATGCTGAGCTCCGGGGGGTGCAGGGCACAGTGTAATACATGAGCGCAGGAGGGGAGGAGGAGGTGTGCTGTGCTGCAGGTAAGTCACTGCTTGGGATGCCCACATCCCACATCAGAGCACTGGTTCAAGTCCTGGCTGCTCCACCTCCAATGCAGCTCCTTGCTAATGTGCCTGAAAGGAGCAGAGATGGCCCAGGCACTTCGATCTCAGCTATTCCATGTAGGAGACCCAGATGGAGTTCCAGGCTCTTGGCTTCAACCTGGTCCAGTCCTGGCTATTGTGACCATTTGGGAAGTGAACAAAGAACAGAAGACCTCTTTCTTTCTCTTTCTGTCTCTGACACTACCTTTCAAACACATTTATTTTATTTATATATATTTATTTTATATATTTACATATCACTATATTTATATTATTATATGTATATATAAAACGTATATGCATATATTCACACAACTATATAAATATATAAAATATATTTACATATTTATATATTATGTTTATATCATTTTATATAATATATATTACATGCTTATATATTTATTTTATATATTTAAATAAATATATGTATTTATTTTCAATCTACCTCGCTGCTAATGTACCTGAGAAAGCAATGAAAGATGGCCCAAATCCTTGGGCCTCTGAGCCCACATGGGAGGCCTGGAAGAAGCTCCAGGCTTCTGGTTTTGGACCTGTCCAGTTCTGGCCATTGTGGCCCTCTGGGGAGGAAACCAGCAGATGGAAGACCTTTCCCCGTCTCTCCCTCTCTCTCTATAAACATGTATTTCAAATAAAAATAAATAGCTCCTAAAATCTTTTTAAAAATCATAGCATACAGTAACTTAATCAATGCTTTGGGGATAAATGAGTGCAAGTGCCAAGAATCTGGACACGGGGCCAAGACGGCCCAGAGAAGAGGTGCTGCTGGACCCCTCCCACATGAGGCAGTCCCTGTGCCAGGGCCAGGACCCGGATGAAGGGTAAGGGAAGATGCAGTCACCTTTTGATCTGAATGTGGGGCCCTGGGCAAGTCCCTTCCACCATGTGGATTGGTTTACCCATTTGTGACATAAGAAGTGCTGACACAGAGCTCTCCAATACATTAGGTTCAGTGACATCCCCTCCCCCAACTCCTTGTTACCTTGTCACCCAGGAAGGCCCGGGGCAGCTGCCAATAATAGAGGTTTCCAGGAAGCAGAGAGAAGCCTTCATAGGAGAGAGCAAACTAGGACAGAAGGACAGGCAGTGAGAGTAGAGAGTGCCCACAGGCAGAGACCCAGCAGCAAGGGGGATGGGAACTCCTCCCACCACGCTGCAGTCCCAAGTTCCCTGCTTTCTGCATGGCTTGCTTCCACTTGGGCTGGGACACTTGAGCAGCTCTCTCAGGGCATAGGTTGGGCAAGCATCTCCTCCTGTCCTGTGAACCACAGATTTACATGGCACACTGCTAAACATGACAGAATCCCGTGGCTTTTCCACGTATATTCAAAAATGTACAACCAGGGACTGGCATTGTAGTACAGTGGATTAAGTTGGTGCTTGCGCCGCCCACATCCTATCTCAGTGCGCCAGTTTGAGTCCTGGCTGCTCCACTCTAAAATGCAGCTCTCTGCTATTGCACCTGGGAAGGCAGTGGAAGATAGAAGATAGCTCAAGTGCTTGGGTTGCTGTCACCCATGTGGGAGATAAAGCTGCAGGTTCGTGGCTTTGGCCTGGCCCAGCTCTGGCTGTTGTGGCCACTTGGGAAGTGAATCAGCAGATGGAGGATCCCTGGAAGGGAAACTGGTAGTCATAGCCCCAGTGTGTCAGTGATGACCTAAGCACTCCAGCAGGATGGGTCCCTCATGGGAGCACGTACCTGGGGGCCTGCTGGACGAGACAGAGAAGAGGAGGAAAAGGAAGAGGAGAGAGAGGGTGGGGGAGGTGCTCTCAGAGCTGCTGCAGGCCCGTGCTGGGCAGAAAGTCCCCGCAGTGGGGGTTGGGGGCGGGCAGCAAAGCTGGAAAGCAGCTGCCAGATCTCTGCATCCACGCGCCTCTGGGCCTCATCCACCTGGGGGGAGCAAGAGAGGAAGGGCAGAGAAAGGAGCAGAGGGACAGAAAGGATACCTGCCAGGCCCCACCAGCCACCAGATACTGTGCTATGGACACAAGTGCCAGTGCCTGCTGCTCTCCTGGGACCTCAGGAGCCAGGTGGGGGTACACTGGATATGGGGGTGGGAAGTGCAGTGACACGGGGATGGGCTGCTTGAGAAGCCCTCCAGAGGGTGTCCAGTAAGACAGAGGTAGACAGTTCTGTCTAGGCAAGGCAGGAACTGGAGGCAGCCCCAGCAGTCCTGGGAAAGGGGATCGGGTGGGGAGGGGGGTGCTCTTTGGGTCTGATTATTCCTATGAGCCATGGTACCAGCCTGAGGTGGCTCTAGAATATCTCCCAAATGCAAAAGTGGAAGCGACTGGGGTCAGGCTAAGGCCAGAAATGAGGAAAACAGCCCAGAAGAGCCCAGGGCTTGGATCTAGTCTCCTCCCTGGAGCCTTAGCCCCTGTCCTGGCCAGGCCCTCAGTTACCTGTGATGGCCGCTGTGCCCAGCCTCTGCCCTCTGGGGGCCCCAGGATCCTCCCAGGTGCCACTGCTGCCCTCCATTGCTCCTCTGAGAGGGATGTACGGTTCTGACAGGGTGGAGGGCACAGGCCACATCAGGCCTCCCAGTGTCTTGGAGCCAGAGTGTCATGCAGGGTCTCCTACCCATGAACAAGATAGGCCTGGGAGAAAGATTCAGGCTCCCCACTCTGGGTGGGCACACAGGCTCCTTCAGGCTGCTGGGGGCGGGGGTGGTGGCTAATACACCAGAGAATTAGAGGTGATTGCTTAGCAGACAGACAGCACTGAGGGGAACCAAGGGGCCAGATCAAATTATGTGGATTAGTGTCAGGTTAGTTTCCCTGCCACCCTGGGCACTGGGACACGATGGCACAGCAGGTAAAAAGCAAGGGTAGCGATATACTACTCCCTCCTGGCAGTGCAGGGCAAAGATACAGCAATGTCCAGACTAGGGTACCACGGGCACTATCTGGTTTCATGCAGACCCACAGTACCATGGGTACTGGGCTGAGGGCACACAAGAACACACCATGTCTAGGTCATACCAGTCTCATGCCACTCGCATTACGGGCCTACCTGGTGAGCTCGACGCATCCTTGTAAAATCGGCCTCCCTCTGCAGAGCACAGAGAAATGGCACGAGAAAAAACAGAGAGCAGTCTGAGAGGTGCAGGGCAGGACAGTGGGGTGCAGGGGGCAGGGCAAGAAGAACCAGGGAAAGAGAAGGCAAAAGCAGTAGCCTGACCTGGAAAGGGCTGCGATACCTGCCCTGTTCAAACCACAAGACTGGAGCAACCTTGGAGCTCCTGTCCTGTGGCTCTCGAGGTGTACCTGCTGGGGCACTGCTGGCATCTACCTCCCTTGGGTACCAACTGGTGGTCTTCACTGCTCTACTAAGACCCTGTTCACTATGACACTGTGCCCAACACGGACACCTCCCACTGGACCAAGGTTTGAAGTAGCAGAGACAAGTTCATTTTCATCTACTGCAGCATGGCACAGGAAGCCGCAGTCTTGGGTTTAGTCCCATCACTGCCACCTACCTCGTAGCCATGGGACGTGAAGTCAGTTCCCCATCTCCTCCTGTGTGAGATGGGCAGCAGTGGCACCTAGCTCACACAGCTGTGAGTTATGACTCCTAGGAGGGACTGGAGAGGTGCCTCAGGGGCTCAGCAAATACTCCCATGGCCTGGGGTCAGAATTGTGCCCAACACCAAGCACAGAGCCAGCGGAGCAGCACGAGTCAACAAACAGATGAAACCCAACCTGCCTGCCGCCTTTGCCCTGGAGTTCTGACAGCCTCCCCCAGGACTCATGTGTGGAACACCTGCCTGGAAGTTGATGACGAGCACCCGCTGTCACTGAGCAGTGTCGGGCGCAATCTGCAGTCCTCTCAGCCTCCCTAAAGTTTAAGTTTATCAGATGTGTCCAGCTGAGAGGCAGCAGGGCTGTGCCTTAGACCAAGGCCCAACATTCAGAAGCCACACACTTAGCCCCAAAGTGGCCAAGGTGACAGAAATAGAGCAGACACCTGCCCATCAGTGGGCTGAGGCTGCTCTGAAGCGAAGCTATGTCTGGCACTGGCATCCCACCTTGTCTCCCTGGTATGTTTCCGGCAGCTGCCAATAGAAGGGCTCCTGTCCGAGTTGGGCAAAACTGCTGAAAGAGAGCTGGGCACCATCGGATGTGGGTTCCACGGTGAAGCCTCCTGTGAGGCGGCTGTTGCGCTGCGGGTTCACCAGGGCAAAGCCCTGGAAGTTGCCAGGGGCAAAGTGGGTGGAGATCTGGCAGGGGAAGAAAGGTTGTGTCAGCCTGAGCCCCGGGGCAGGCTCTTTGGTGGGGGTGGGGCATAGAAGGGATCAGGGCAGGCAGTGGGGTTCACTGGGATGGGGGCCGGGGATTGTGAAGGAGCACAGTGAGCCGTTGGACTCAGTGCCAAGGTGGGTGACAGCCTGGTGTTGCTGCTGGGCCTGGTGGGATGAGCAAGGGCCAGCAGGCAGCACGTCCTGCCTGGGCTCTTACCAGGTGGCGAGTGTAAGAGGAGCTGGCACACTGCTGGGTGACACCCATGCAGAAACAGGGCAGGCAGCCATCGGGGTTGCTGGCGCTCAGGTGGAAGTAGTGGGGCCGGCATTGGCTGCAGGTGAGGCCTTCTACCTGGGCCTGGGTAAATGAATGCAATGATGTGTGTAGAGATCTCGGTGGGTCATTCCTGCCCCCCAGCAGCCTCTGAGGGCATCCTGCCCAACCACCACTAGTGGTTTAGGGTAGCCCTTGTCCTAGTCCCAGGACCCGGCTCCCACCAGATCAAGGACGGGTGTGGTCAAGGGCAGGTTTGGACTAACCTTACATTGGCACTGGCCACTGGCATCACACTGGCTGCTGATGCTGCCCTGGGGGTCACAGCTACAGACTATGGACCCTGGAACCTGGCTGTCTCCTGAAGTGAGGAAAACCACGGTTGGAGCCACAGGACCCACTATCATGCATGCCAGTTCCCACCACTCTCCCAGTACCTGGCTCAACGCCAAGGAAGGGAGCCAATCTCTGACATGACATACTGCTCATGCAGCCCTGGGAGGAAGGTAGAGCCCACTCCTATTCCATTTGACAGATGAAGAAGTAGAGGCTCCCAAAGACAAAGATACCCAGTCAAATTCACAGAGAAATAAAGACTGCATCTTGTCCCCCAGTTCCCACCTCCAGGACACTGGGAGCTCCCTGGGCACACTCACTTTGACAGGGCTGGCCCTGGCTGGGGTTGCCATAATAGCCGGGGGCACACCTGCAAGAGAGAATGCGCTGGAGGAAGCAGGATCCTGCAGAGGAAGCCATTAGCCCAGGCCTGGCTGGGGCTCGGCAGTGCTGAAGGATACCTACCCATCTGGACCACCCATTTCACAGCGGGAAACCACAGGGAGAAGAGTGGGGATGTGCCCAAGATGTGAGCCTGGTCAGGCTGCACCGAGGGCCTTCAGGAGCCTGGCCAGGCTTGGCAGTGAGATGCAGGCCTGGATGTCTGAGGATCCAATATACTGCCAGGCTAGAAGCACAGGCTTCCACGGAGGTGAGAGAAGGAGGGCCTCACCTGAGGATGCCAAGGGCAGCCCTTCCCACAGACCCCACCCAACCCCACCTGCCTCACCTCTCACAGTGACGCCCGCTGTGGCTTGGGGAGCATGCGTCACAGGTGGGGTGGCCGTCTGTGTCCAGGAAGCATGTGTGAGCGGCCCTGAGAGTGTGGGGGTGAATCTCCCATCAGGAAGGCTGTCACTTTGACGTCCACCCCCAGCTCCCTTCAGAGCCAAGGGTTAGGGCAACATGGGTTGGGGCCGACAGGTTGTAGAGAGTATGGGGTATGTGAACTCGGGCCTTCTGAGCACCCGCTGTGGGCTGGGCACTGTGTTAGAATCCCACATACTGGGGTTGAGTGGGTGTGACATCCCCATTTCACACGTGGGGTGTACCTTATATCAAGTGCCACACCGAAGGAGTGGTAAGACTGGGATTGAACCACTGCCTCTCAAAAGTGCCCAGGAGGAAGGGATGAGGGCAGAAGGTGGTGGCCAGATTTGGGACAGGCAACGATGGGACTTACTGGCCAGCAGCAGGGGTTCCGTAGCATGGGCAAGGCTGGCAGTCCTGTGGTGTCCCCTGCTGGGCGTCTCCATAGTATCCTGGTTGGCACTGCTCACACCGAGGGCCCTCCGTGTGGTGCTGGCAGCCCTGGAGGGGTAGAATGTGGGTTAGAGAGGGTTCCTGAAGGCCACAGGTGCTTGGGTAAGGAGGAAAGAGGCCCGGAACGCACCTGACAGGCACCTGTTTCAGGCTCACAGACTTCCGAGTGGCCGTGGCAGCTGCAGCGTTCACAAGTGCCCAAGTAGAGGCCGCTGGGCATGCGTGTGTAGCCTGTGTCGCAGTCCTGGGAGCAGAAAAGGGGCCATGGGAGGGGCTTCCTGGAAGGTCCCCTCCCTGCTGCTGGGTTCTGAACTTTGGGGTGGGCAGAGCTCAAGAAGAAGAGGAGTCGGGGAGTACCAAGGAGGGAGCTAGTTGGACAGGTCAGTGGGGCCCAGGACTCACCTGGCAGGATGGGCCACGGTACCCAGAGGGACATGTGCACTGCTCCACTTCTAGTGCAAGGTCCTGACCAGTGTTCTCAGGCACAGCCACATCCATGCTGATTCCAGAGAGCCTGAGCAAGAAAGACCTGCTCAGAATGTGCTTTCAATGGCCGCATGGCTAGGCCCTGTCTTCAGTCCCTTCACCAGCTCTCCTGCCAGTGCCTTCACTGTGCTATTGGGGTCCTGTCCAGGTCCCCGCTGAGGCCTCCTTCCCCAGCTGCTGCTGGGGTGGTGGCTAAAGGCCCACAGCTGCAGTGTTCTCCAATGGGTCACCTTCCTCGCCAGGGCAAGGGGTTGGAAGACAGGCTAACAGAAAGCAAAGGCCTCAGCCTCAGAGTAAGATGCCTCTGCAGGGAGAGAGGAGGTGATGGCCAGATCTAAGGATACTTCCCTGCTTGCCAATCTTCCTTCCCCTGTGTGCCTCCCTCCTGGGAGGGGCCTCCATGTGAATCACATGCAAGCCACTGCCCATCCCAGGTTTGCTTCTGGGGAGACTGATGGAAGATAAGCCCTGTGAGAGAGCCACATTATAATATCCACCTTGCAGATGGGGAAAATAAGGCACCCAAAAGCCACACAACCTGTCTGTCAGTGGCAGAGCTGGTGGTCTACAGCACTGCACAGTCCCACCCGGATTGCAGTCCCCTGCCTGAGTCCTCTCCCATCCTCCCACCAAGGGCCCAGACACCTGCTCTCAGCTGGCTGCTGGCTGTAGGATGCTTGGATCAGCAGTGCGTCGATGCCTGCTAATGCCATCAGCAGATGCTCCCGGGTGGCCGGCTGTCCGTCAGACCGTTGCCATGCTTGCTGTCAGGAAAAGGGCCCAGGTGCTTAAGGCCTGACCTCTGAGGGGGTAGGGGGGTGTCAACAGCCCTGAGAGCAGGGGCCTGCTTAGGCTCACCTCCCGGAAGGGTACAGTGAAGGTGCTGGGTTGGCCAGGCACAGGTTCTTGGGAAGTGTGATGCTCCAAGGTGATGCTGTTCCCCTGGAGAACCACCAAGGGCTGCCTGTGCAGTGGCGGGGAGCCGGGCTGTGGCTGTTGGATCACTGTGAAGTGCAGCTCTCCCCCATAGGAGGTCACCTGGATGCAGGGTGGACAGGTGCTCAGTGGGACCCCATGGTTGGCTCTGTCCCTGCTCCAGCACAGTGTCTTCTTCTATGTTCCCTAGGGGACCATGGCACTCCAGTGCCTCAGCCTTTGCCAGTGCCACTCCTGTTGCTTGGAGCTCCCTCTACCTTCCCAGCCCCTGCCCACCTTGTCCCCCCGGAAGCGTAGAGGGAGGCTCCAGAAGTAAGGCCCAGGCAGGAGGCTGTGGAAGGAAGAGAAGAGCAGCTCCCCAGCCGCAGGGGAAGCGATACCCTCGCTGGTGGTGTAGGTGCCTGCAGCGTTGGTCAGGCTGAACTGTGAGGGTTCCTCAGAGGCCCCCAGCACCTGGGAGGAAGAGATGGGGTCAGGAAGAGGACTGAAGCCTGGGTTGGGCACTCAGTCTGTGCAGCCCTGCCCAGCTCATGTAGGTACCTGGGCACGGCTCCAGGAGGAGCTGGAACATTGGCGGCTGACGCCCATGCAGAAGCACTTGAGGCAGCCGTCGGGGTTTTGCTTGCTCAGGTGGAATGAACCATCGGCACACTCATTGCACAGGCGTCCCACCACGTTGTTCTGTGGGCACAGAGCTGTGAGATGCAGGGACAGCCCACAGGGGAGGCTGCCTGGAGCTTTCAGCCCGACCCACACACAGTCTGGTGGGAGACCCAAGGCCCCAGGGGAGCCACTGCAGGAGTATTCCACTGCCATATGATCAATAATTCTTGGTTAATGGAGCTTATGCAACCTCTTTCCTTTTTCTCTTTGGCTCCCGGAGCATTCAAATAGGCATCTGAAATACAGCAACTTAATGAAAACAACCACCGCCCCCTAATACCCTTAAGTGTCTTACAAAGCAGGTGATAGCTCTACCCTTCACAGGAGAAAACAGAGGCCCAAGGATGTCAACATGACCTGTAGAAGGTCACCTAACTTGCTCAATCACTCTGAGATTTAAGATCAAGGGTGCCTTGGAGACTCCCGGATCCTCATCCAGGACTATCAATATGGGTGCCAAGAGCTATATCCCATCTGCCAAGGAGACAATGGGGAATTGGAGTGCCCTCACAGGCCGAGAACTCTGAGGTCATCCATTCCCTATCGGATCTCCCATACGGGAGGAGGAAGCCCAGATCCTTCCTCACAGGATCTAATGTCATTGGAACAACAGCCAGGAGCCCTGAGCGGTCCTCAGAAACAGAACAGTAAACTTCCTTTGGGACTCGGGAGGGGAGCTTTCTCTGGTCCTAACTCAGTTTCAACTTTGGCTCCCCATCCTCTCTTGCAAGACCATCAGGGTCGCTCTGGAACCCTCTCCCCCCACAAAATTAGATCAGATAAACAGAGACCAAAAAGGAAAGCTTAAAACAGACAGGAAACAGTCAGTTTGGACTCCCATATACCTAACTAGGTAGGACACAAAAGTTAGTTACTCCTCACTAAGGTATTGAAGATTTCTTTGCCCACCCCTCCTAAAACTGTTCTGCTCCTCAATTGTTAACATATGGCTTGTTTGAGGTGTAAACCTGTTTGGACTATCCTAAATTTCACATAGTTCAGTAGAAATCATGCTTTAATACTTTAAGCTGCTAAAGATATAAATGAAAATAGACACCAGACAGCTAAATAGAACCATATAACTATTTTAAGGTGTATAGCAGCCAGTTGTGTATAAACTATATTTGAGATGTCAATAAAGTAGTTACACAATGTGGTTAAGAACTTGAATTTTCTAACACACTGGTCACTCAATACCATGTCAATTAAATTCACGATGTTGTAAATTGTTGAAATTGTGTAGGGGCTTTTCATTGGAGGAGATGATATTCTGCCAGCCCTACTTTCAGACCAGGGATGGTTTCCCATTAAAACTGGTGAAATTTATCTGGACAATAAGATGCTGGACTCTTTGCATGGTCCATGCTCGCAATGAAGGAATCATGACTGGTTATGATCTGTACTACTGTAACAATGTGGAGGAATTCAATGTGGGGGAGGGTTTGGGGGAATCCCAGAGCCTACGAAACTCTGTCATAAAATGAAATAAATGTAGTCTAATATATATATATATATAAGCTAGAAAAAAAAAAAAGATCAAGGGTGCCCGACTCCAAATTCTATCAGTTCCAATACCCACGAAGGCTCATTCACTCCTAACGCAGGTGACACCCACCCTCAGAGCCTCCATTATGTCATCAGCATGTTGGGGGTATGATACCTACATCAGCACATCAGTGTGGCTACTGTCAGAGAATGGGAAAGGTGAAACACACACACACACACACACACACACACACACACACACACACTTTTCCACATGGAATGAACTCAGGTCACTTGACTCACGAGCCAGGGATCCTTCCCAGTGTCAGGTCCCCTGTCCTAATGTTGAACATCAGCCAGCCAGGCCATTAGCATCCACCCTGGCCCCCTAAGCAGTTCCCAGTGGCCAAGGCAGCTCACGTACCTTGCACTCGCAGGTCTTGGAGGTGCGCAGGCTGCCCTTTTCATCGCATTTCTTTTCACCTTTGTAAGGCCCTGAAAGGAGCTCGATGGTTGAATCTGCAAAGTGGGTGTTGGCAGGTGAAAAGGAGGGAAGGGGAAAGATGCAATCTTAGCTGTCAGAGGGATGGGACAGAGAGACCCGAGAGGCACTGTGGGGCTTGGTGGGGGCGGGGCACTGGTGGCTCTGAGCCAGGTGTCAAGGCAGGGTGCTCAGATACTCACGGGTTGGCCTGCATTTCCCCTGTGGCTGGATGGGGTTGCCCTCATATCCAGGGGCACACCTGGCAGAGAGGAGGGCTGTCAGTGGCCCTTGCCCAGGATGGCCTGCTTGCCCAGCCCCCACCTATTCTCCCTCACCTCTCACAGCGGCGGCCTGTGTAGCCAGGGGCACATGCATCACATGTGGCTTGGCCATCCGTGTCCAAGAAGCAGGTGTCTGAAAACCTATGTGTGTGAAGTGGGCAAGATGTGGGAAGGAATTAAGAGTCAGGCTTGATGCTCCCACCCTGGGAAGCCAACACTGTCCACACAGCTGCCACATGCTACAAAGCATGGTGCCATCTCTCTGCCCACCAGTTCTTGATCTGCAGCCAGTCCATTCAGCAGAGTAGAAACTGATATCTGGTTAGGACATGGAGTGTGGACCAGGCTGGGGTCTGAATCCACATGTCTCACTGCCCTGTTCAGAGCATGCCCCCATCCCATCCCATCCCATCCCATCCCATCCCATCCCATCCCACTGCCTCCCAGCAAATCTGCTTCACTCTGAGCCGCCTCTGACCTGCGGGAGGCATCAATGTATGGGCAAGGACAGGGCCGGCAGGCAGTGGCTGTGGCTTGTGTGGCATCCCCAAAGAAGCCGGCCTTGCACTTGTTGCACTGTGGTCCCTCCGTGTTGTGCTGGCAGTTCTGCAGGAAAGCAGAGGGAGTGGCTCAGCTTTTGCAGCAAAGGACGGGGATGGACCACCCATTGGGGTCCCTTGAGGTTACTGGCTTTGGGGTCCCTCCACAGCTGAGCAACCAGGGTGTCCAACTGTGTCCTTTCCCTGCCGGTAGGGGGCGCATCATCTCCTGGCGGCAGTTAGTCTTGCAGATGAGTCCAAAGAGTGGCTTCCCAAGTTTGGAATCTGGCTGTTTTCTTCCGATCTGCACCCACCAGTACTACTGCCCTGTGGGCCCCATTTCTTTCCCCTAAAAGCTTTCGAGGGATTTGGAGAAAGCAGTTCTGCCCTGATGGGGTCTTTCCCTTCTGCCAGTTCTACATGCCAGCTCCTTCTGCTGTTCCTAAGAAGCAAGGCACAGTACCTAGACCCTGCCCTTTAGGGCTGCCTGCTAAAGGCTGAGCCAATATGCCTGCCTTTCTCTGGGCCCAGTCTGACCAGATGGTGACCTTCCTGGTCTGGACTACACACCTCCATTAAGGCATCCCGGGGTCACAAGAACTAGCCCAGCAGCCAGGACAGTCTGGAGGCTTGTGCTGAATGGAAAGGCATTGGGGGTCTCATAGCAGCCCCATCCAGTGTCCGGGAGTCAGTGGGCACTACTCACCAAGCAGTACCCATATACAGGGTCACAGGAGCTGGCGTGGCCATTGCAATGGCAGCCAGAGCAGGTGCCCAGGTAGGGCCCACCAGGCACCCGGGTGAAGTGTGTATCACAGCTCTCACAGGACAAGCCAGAATAACCGATGGGGCATCTGTGGGGATAGCACCAAGAAAGTGGCTGTGGGAACCGTAGGCGCTGCTGTGTGTCCTCTGTCCCTGCAGTACCTCAGCTGTCCCTGGTTCAGCAGGGTCAGCACCTGCATTCCTCCACGCTGTGGGCACGGCCATGGCTGGTGGTGTGGGTCACGGTGGTGTCCATGCTGATGTCACTCAGCCCCACGCTGGCCATCTTGGTGTTGTACACGGTCTGTATGAGCACGGCCTCTAGGCTTTGCAGCACCTGCAGCATCTCTGCCCGCTGAACTGGTCGCTCAGACTCGTGGACCCAGTGCTCCTGGGTGTGGACAGAGCAAGGGGTCACTCATCAGCACCTCTGCAGCTTGCAGCCCCCACAGCCTGCTGGGCTCAGGTGCCACCTACCTCAGAGAGCTGGACCTGACGCTGGTTCAGAGCACCGGGCTGGGTGGGCGTGTGCCCTCGGGAGAGCAGGCGATATCCAGCACCCACAAGGACCACATCCGGTCGCTGTACTGGCTCCAGTGTACCACGTGCCAGCTCATAGCGCACCTTGTAGCGCAGGGAACCACCATAGGAGTCCACCTGGCCGAAAGAAGGCAGATCAGGGCCAGGGCACACTGGGGGCATACCTGATACCACTGGGCAAGCCATGGACAGATGTGCTGTGTCCTGGCTCCTCCCTCATTCTGTCCATCTGTGTCTGGCACTGAGCTAGGGGAGCCAAGATAGCCAAGACTTGGGCTCTGTCTCTTGGTTTCTTAGTCCACAGCCAGTAGAACAAGGCTGTGCAACAGGTGGCCAGGAAGGCCAGGGTTGGCGCACTGAGCCCAGCCTAGGGCGGGGTAGTGGTCAGCAACTTTCCTAGAAGATGCCAGTTCTTTCCAAAGGTTGAGTCCTTCCCAAACCTAGAATGGCAAGATGGATTTCTGTCCTGGATGAACGAGTCCTATGGGCTGCACTGGGGCACATCATCTCCCTCCCTCCCTCCCTCCCTCCCTCCCTCCCTCCCTCCATATCTGTGTCTGTGCCTGCCCTGCTGCCCACTGGCTTCTGAGGCAGGGGGCCTAAGAAGGCTCTAAGCATGGAAGGAGGAGAGGCTTGATCCTTTCTCCACCCAGGGCGGCAGCCCAGCCCCTCACTTTATTGCCCAGGAACTGCTCAGGCAGAGCCCAGAAGGAGCCGTGGGCGAGGAAGCGGCGGGACAGGTCGACCAGCTGGAACTCCTGCAGAGTGGTGTCAATCTGCATCTGGGTGGAGGACAGGGGTGGCATGCCGGGTTGTGTGGGCATCGTCACGTTCACGCCTGTGGGTGGCAGAGGGGAGCGCTGAAGGCGCAGCAGGTGCCTGCCTGACACCTACCTGGAGGAGTAGTAATCTAGAAAGGTCAGAGAGTTCTAGGCAAAAGTCGATTTAGAGGAAGCTTCGGTCTCTCCCAAAGCTAAGAAAAAGTAATTTGATTTTGTCTCCCAAAGTGTTGCAAAAGCATTTCCTAAAGTAAGCTCTGGGGAAGGTCACAGCTAGGAAGGCTAGGTGAGGAATAGAGTCAAAGATCGACCAAGGGCACTCTGCAGCAGGACTTCTAAGAGCCTTTTGCTTGCTAAGAGGTTCACGGGTCCCAGGGACTGGAACAGCCTGAAAGGGCAGTGGAGAGATAGAGAGGGCTAAAAAGGGCTAACATCCTGGTTCCAGTAGGCTCCAGATAGGCAAGCGCAGGCAAACGCCTCAGGAATATTGGCCTGCTTCTTAGAGTTATTACGAAGATAACCTAAGCGGATTCATTTAAAATGCTTCAAATGGGTGTTTGCTTCGGCAGCACATACACTAAAATGCTTCAAGTGGGATCCAAAGGAAATGCCCCCGAAATGGTTAGTTTTTCAGGGCAGGCATTTGGTGTAGCAGGATGCCTACATCCCACATCAGATGGCCTGGGTTCGAGTTCTGGCTTCACTCCAGCTTCTTGATAACGGGCACCCTGGGAGGCATTAGGTAATGGTCCCAATACTTAAGATCTTGCCAACCAAGTGGGAGGAGACCCACATTGAGTTCCTGGCTCCTGGCTTTGTCCTGACCCAGGTCCAGGTGTTATGGCATTTGGAAAGACAGCCAAAGATGTGAATATTCTGATTTATCTTTCATGTAAATAAAATAAATGAAAAAGTAAAAAAAAAATTTCTGCTGTTGCTATGATGGATCTTCTGTTCTGCCTTTCTCCTCTGTCCTACACACAAACACACGCACTCCCTTAGCAGCATCCTCCAAAAGAACTTCCAATGACGACGGATTTACTCTGAGTCTGCGCTCCAATACAGTACCCTCTAGCCACGTGCGGCTACGAAACACCTGATGTGTAGCTGCTGAGCCATCTGAGGAACTGAATGATACCGTCTGAACATGAACGGTCACATGCGGCCAGTGACTAGCACCCTGCCAGGGTAGCGCTCAGCAACAGAGAGCTCAGTATCTTCATAGGCAATGCCTCCTAGCTCTGGACAGGTCTGACTTCTGGCAAGGTTTTCCTTATAGAGTTTACATCTCTCAACAGCTTCTCCCCTTGATCCTGAAGGTATCCCATGCGCCCTGCAGAGATGTCCACGACCTCATCTGTAGAAGGAACATCAGAGCCTGCAAGTCTGAGGGACACCACCCCAGTGGTTCCTTCCTCTGCTTCCTCTGGGGACATCCTCAGGCACTCTCCACAGACAGGCCACCTGATGGCCCTGGCATCCTTATCCACCCCACTGGTCCAGATTCCACTGAGTGGCCTGGTATCCAGCTCTCTGCCTCTCAACGGCTCTGTGACCCTGGTGAGGTTCCATAACCTCTCTAACTCAGAGCTGTTATCCGAGCACTGTAAAAATAGCCTTGACCTTGCAAAGCTTATCAACCCTGCAGGGCTGGTGTGTGTTAAGCTGTAGGGCCAAATGATCAGCAATTGGTAGCTCAGCCACCAGCACTGCAAACAGGCTGGGGATCACGGCCACAGGAACCCAGGTTTGAGCGCTCACACTTATCAAGCAAAGAGTAGGACCCACAGTGTGGTCCAGCACCTACTGTGCCCGGAGCTAACTCGCTGGGGGTATTTCTGCCTCGAGGGTGAAAGACAGGAAGTGGGGAGCTGAAGGGAGTGAACTCAGGGCCAGCCTCACCCTGATGCTCCACTCCCTGTGAGATGTCCTGCCATTCTGCCTTGGGAGCCAGAGGGGCTGTATCCACTGGTCTGCCTTTGTGTACCTGACTGTACACTTGTGCACTTTGCCTCAGGGGTCCCAAGGAGGGCAAAGGAGCAGGCAAGTCTCCCTGGCCTAACGTGGTAGCACACTGCATTGCTTCTGCATCTGTCACGATGCCCATGTGAGCATGGCACAGTGATGTCTCACACTGGCCTCCCACCTCAGGCCTACCGTCCTTCATGATGGCATTGAGCTAGCAACTGACCTGTGCCAAGGAAGTCTGTGCAAGTGTCCTGGAGGTGCTCCTGCAATGGCCAGCCATGTGTTTTTCAGACACAGAGTGTACTTGCAAAAGCAGGTCCTTAAAAGCCAGCTGATACACTGGAGCCTGGGCTCCTACAGGGCACCCCCCCCCGCCACCTCCTAGGACGAGGCTGGCAGGGACGACCTCAGCAAAGACTCACTGGTGGGCATTCACCATGAACCAAGCACTATTCTAAGTTTCCACATTAACCCATTAAACCCTCCCAACAGATGGAAAACAAAGACCCAAGATAGTGAGTAAATATCAAGATTTTGGCATTTCCCCAAAAAATGTTTGTTTTCATAGAAATACTCTTCCTCTGGCAAGGCTGTGTCTGTGTAGGACTCTGCCAGCTCTGGAAGGTCACCAGGGAGCCTAGTATTGCCTTCCACCTCTTTCAGCCCCCACCCCACCTATCTGCCCGCATGCCCATGAACGCACCCTTGAAGTCGTTGGGTTGGTCAAACCTCAGACGGATGTGGTCACGGAAGCGGCGGCTGCTCTGACACACATTGGTGACCCCGAAGCAGAAGCAGGGCAGGCAGGAGGCGCTGGATTCCAGGTAGAAGTGCCCATCGGGGCAGGGGCCTGCTTGAGCAGCAGGGGAAGGGGTTATAGCTGACCACCAGCAAGAGGCCCTGGCCCCACATCCAGTGCCCAGCTGCCTCCAGCCCATACCTCGCTGCGGGAGGAGCTCCAGGACACCGTCAGGAATGCCGAACACCATGCCCCGAGAATTCATGGCCTCACAGGTATAAGCACCCTGGTCTGCCTCCTTCACATCACGGATGATCAGGGTGCCACGGCCACCCTCGCTGGTCATTGTCACCCTGATGGACCCCGAGACAGTGGTGAGGTCAGGTCCAGGGCCACTGGCTCAACCTCCCTTTTCACCCTCCAACTGGACCCCGTCACACCTGGGATGAGAGGGGATATGGCCCCAGTTGAGCCTCCAGTTGATGATAGGGGTAGGGACTCCAGTGGCCACACAGGTGAAGGTCACTGTCTGGCCCCGGGAAGCCTGGATGGACTCCTGGGGAGGGGTCACCACCTGTGGGGGCACTGGAGAGACCAGAGCAGAGGTGAAGGGTCTGAGGCACCAAAGTTGGAGTGGGAAAAGGTCTCTAAGGAGTCAGGCAGGTAAAGGGTAGAGGCTGAGGTCATGGACAGAAGCACCCAGAACCCAGCCCAGGGACAGGGCCCACATCTTGCCCCCAGTGCCCTGCTTACTGCAGCCAAACTCGTCGCTACGGTCAGCACAGTCACTCTCCTCGTCGCAGTGGAAGCTGGCTGGGATACATGTATTTGTGGATACGCAGCGGAACTGTGTGGGGCCACATACTTCCTCAGGACGCTTGGCAGCTGGGGGACAAAACCATGAAGTGTGGGTACCAGGGCACTGCTGCAGGGAAGGTCAACCCAGCCCCCACCCCAGCAGCCCTCTCCTGTGCACCACCCCCACCTGTGCTGGGTTCCTCTGTCATCCTGCCCACTATCTTGTGGTTGTAGGCCCAGCCACTACTGCCATGACATGGTTTATAATGATGCATCAATGTGATCCCAAGTCTGCTGAAAAACAGCTCCTCCTGTCACCCTGCCCCCAGCACTCAATGCACCTGGATGCCCTGAAGCAGAGTTTCACCTGGCATGGCACAGTCATAACCATAGAGTCCCTCAGTCCCTTACACCACAGTCAGAGTGTCAGCTTGTGTGATTTCTGTGGAAGGTATCTTCTGACCCCAATGAACCTGCACCAGGGACCCTGTTTTCTCTAAGGGACATGCCATGTGCCAGGTGCTCTCATCTAGCTCCTGGGGTGTTTGATGCTTGGCACCTTAATGTGGGCTCAGGGGTGCCTGACCTCAGGCAGCCACATTTCAACTGGCCTGAGGCTTGGAGCCCAATTGGGCCTGGACTGGGTTCCTGGTGGGCAGCTCTGGTGGATGGGGATCAGCATTCTTCCTCTGGGAGACTGAGCTCAAGAGAGACCTACACACAGAGAAGCCCCAGGAAGAAGGCAGGAGAGAGCCTGCTACATAGAGCAATGGGGCAGATTGGACACGGCATCTGTGCCAATGCTTAGAGCCCCAGATGTCTTGCTCTGTGGTCTATGCTTCGCTAATGAGACTTCGGCCTGCTCTGGCCTCGTCTCCTTTTTCTCTCTTCAAGGACTGGCACCCTCCGGAAAGCTTAGAGTGACAGGAAGAACGTCACCAAAACCTGTCCCTGGTCAGTGTTTGCTGGAGACAGGGAGATGAAGGCAAGCAAGGACAAGCTGGATCATTCCACAACAACCATGTACACAGGTGCCCGGCGTCACAAAGAAGTGATCGGAAGATGCTCTTCAGTGTTGGACCCACAAGACCAGACTTGCCCTCATAGGACAGGATATGAAATATCACCTGATGTGATCTCTGATTCCCCAGCCTCCTTCACCTATTTAACTGTCATGGTGTCCAAAGCACTGACCAGATGGGGAAGGGCAAATGGATGTTGGGCAATAGATAAATGGATGGTTAGATAGATGCCTGGGGGGCACAGGGAGGAAGGCTGGCAGCATGGAGAGCAAGAAAGATGGACAATGGAGGGACAGGTGGAAGGTCAAGAGGACAAGGTGGGTGGACAGGTAACAGATGGATGGATGGTTGAGTGGAGAAATGGAGAATTAGAAAGGTGAAGGATGGATAGATGGATGGTGAAATGGATGAGGAGATGGGTGGGAAGAGTGTGGGGCAGAAGTGTGACCAGGTGTATGAAGAGCTGGTAGGCAGACAATGGATGGATGGATGGGGTGGTTGGGTGAATAGACAGATAGGTGGGAGAAAGGATGCAACAAGGATGGTGGCTGACAGGGTACCTGAATGGGTGATTACACAGGCTGATAGATGGAGAGGTGAGAATATGGAGAACAAGTGACTCAGAGCCAGCTTCAGCTGGAAAACCTCTAGACCCAGGCTATGGGTTTGAAATTGTCCTCCAAGGGCCATGGTTGGAAACTTCGCATGGCCATGTTGTGGGATGGGTGACTGGGTCCTGAAGGTCCTGCCCCTGCGAAGGGACTGATGCCATTACCAGGGGAGTGGGTCCCTGAAGAAAGGCTGCTCCCCACACCAGCTTCCTTGCATGCTATCCACAGTGGCAGATGCAGCAAGCAGGCTGTCTCTACCTGTGGCCCTCGGCCTGGGGAATTACCAACCTGCAGACTGTGAGCACAGCCCCCAGCCTCAGGCGCCCTGTGAGAGCAGCACACAATGGACAGAGACCTTGCCTCACACACACATCCAAATGGCATCTCAAGTTATCTTTGACTTCATCTGACGCCTATACAAATATGCAGTCAAGAAAGATATGGACTGCATGGCAGCACAGCCACCCCACTCACAACAAAGACCAGCTAGGGCGAGAGACCAGGCAGGAACAAACTTTGACGCTGGTGCCGGCCCTGCTCAGCCGGAGAGGGGGTCAGGCAAGGCAACCAGGCAGCCCTGTGGACACTCACGGCAGTTGGTCTCATCGGTCTGGTCCTCGCAGTCAAAGTCGCCGTCGCAGCGCCACAGCTTGAGGGCACAGTGCCCATTTCCACAAGGGAACTCGTTGGGCTCACAGGGTGGGGAGGGGCCTGGTGGATGAGGCAGGATCAGTAGCGGCCATGCCTGCCGCCCTGTACCCGACCTCCTGTACTCCACTACCAGCCCTGCCCTGCACTCACCGCAGTTAAGCTCATCACTGCCGTCTTTGCAGTCATCTTGTCCATCACAAAAGTAGTCTTTGGGGATGCACTGCCCACTGTGGCATGCAGCCTCATGGGGCCTACAGAGATCAGGCCGGCCCGGAATGGGGAATAGAGGCTTGGGGGTGGCTATGTCTGGTAGCCGTGGTGTCTCTGGTGGCTCAGGTGCTAAATAGGGTATCTCTGGTTTGGGTGGTAAACTGGTTGTCTGCACCATAAAGGGTGGCACGGAACTGTGTTCTGGAACTGGATCTGTGGACAGACCACAAACAGCTTTTAGCGGGAAGGGCACATCCTCCCTGTACCCCCAAGACAGCCTGCAGCCCTGAGCCCTGACATCCCCCCATACCCCAGACTCCTAGCCATGGATGGATTCAGCCTGAGGTGGGGAACTCTGGCTTTCCCCTGGCATCTTTAGGCCATGGGTGCCCAGACAGTGTCTCACCACAGTTGAGCTCGTCAGACATGTCCCTGCAGTCAGGCCGCCGGTCACAGCGGTACTCCAGGGGCACACACTCGTTGTGGCTATGGCAGGCAAACTCAGTCTCGGTGCAGACCCTTGGGACCTGGGGCACTGTAGAGGTCAGAGGTGTCAGAGGCAGCAGCAGAAGGAGGGGTGGCAGGGCAGGGCTCAATCGCGAGTGGGCCAGTTGTGGCAGACACAGCAAGTACAAGAGGCCCTTGGCAAGTGCATCCGTGGCACACACAGGGTATGAGGCACATGGCAATAGTCTGGCATCCCTCATATGGATGCATGTACAGTGGACATGTCACACTCATGCAGCTACCATGCCACACACATGCAAACCCCAGCCTGGCCCAGTGAGGAGAAAGGGTGTGAGAAGGCAGCCTGTGGGCCATGCCTAGCAACCCAGTCTTGTCCCTCTCCCTCCATGCCTAAACTGCTTGAGGTATTCAGCTGGGCCCAGGCTGGGCTTATACCCTCACCTGATGTCACTGGGACCCCCACAGCAGCTGGAAGAGGTGGGGGGGTCTGTGCTGGAAAGGAAGGTGTGGTCAGTAGCTGACCCACCTGGGTCAGGCCCATCCTACCAACAGACCCCATGGGCAGGAAAAGTGGGAGACAAGGGTTTGACCTCCTCCAACTTTGAAATTGGGCTTGAGGATGCTCAAAGAGCTGGCCTGTGGGTTGGAGGCATTAACCAAGGTCTTTTGTGAAGAACAAAGGGGTGTTTTCTGACTTAGGGAGCCTGGCAGGAATGAGTTTCGTTTGGAGGCAGGGATGGGGGACAGGTGGGTGCCTTCCCAGGTAGAGGAGAGTAGAGACGGGGCTTAGAGCTACAGTCTGTGAGGAGTGAGCTGGGACTGTGTGACTCAAAGAGGGGACAGGTAGATGAAGAGAGACCAGGGCCTGCTCAGTGTACAAAGGCCAGACGGTTGTCGCTCCCAGCTGAACGAGCGCCTTTGGGACACTCATCTCTCATCTCATCTCATCATGAATTCTGGCAACACTGGCCCAGGCAGAGTCAGCTGATTTCTGGACCTGGTGCTGTGGTGTAGGCTAAGCTTCTGCCTGCAGCACTGGCAACTTATATGGGCATTGGTTCATATCCTGGTTACATTTCTTTTTTTAAAGATTTATTTTTATTATTATTTCTTTATTGGAAAGGCAGATATACAGAGAGGAGAGACAGAGAGGAAGATTTTCCGTCTGATGATTCACTCCCCAAGTGAGCGCAACGGTCGATGCTATGCGGCTCCGAAGTCAGGAGCCTCTTTCGGGTCTCCCACGTGGGTGCAGGGTCCCAAAGCTTTGGGCCATCCTCGACTGCTTTCCCGGGCCACAGGCAGGGAGCTGGAAGGGAAGCGGGGCTGCCGGGATTAGAACTGGTGCCCATATGGGATCCCGGGTGTGCAAGGTGAGGACCTTAACCACTTGCGCCACCGCGCCGGGCCCATGGTTACATTTCTAATCCAGCATCCTGCTTGTGGTTGATGAGAGCAGTGGAGGCTAGTTTAAGTCCTTGGGCCCCTGCACTCACTTGGGAGACCTGGAGGAATCTCCTGGCTTTGGATCAGCTCAGCTCTGGCCATTGGTTGTGGCCACTTTAGGATTGAAACAGTAGATGGATGATATCTATCTATCTATCTATCTATCTATCTATCTATCTATCTATCTATCTATGAATGAATGTCTCCCTCTCTATATTTAACTCTGCCTTTCAAGTAAAAATAAAACAGATCTTAAAAATAAAAATTCTGATTTCCCAGTTGCTGGCCTCTGTGGCTTGGGATAAGCCACTGCTCAGCTTAGCCTTGGTGCCCTTGTTTCTGAGACGGAAGGAAGAAATTCACTTCCTAGGAATTGCTGTGGATGTGGAACAGGGGGCTGGCCGAAAGGGCCCATGTGGAGTGCCTGGCACATGGGGCATTTGCACTGAGTATCAGTATGGAGTTCTGGACTTGGAAGTTCTATGTGCATGGAGAAGGGAGGTGTCACTGAACAGAGAGTATGGGAGAGCGTGGGCATTGTGCCCAGCAGGCACATGGTAGAGGCAGAGAGCAGCCTATGCCCTTCCCCAGCCAACTGCATGAAGATTGACTGGGTTCACAGGAGAGTTTAAGGGGCCCATGGGAGATGTTGGGAGCTTTGGCCCTTATTAACTGGGAAGGCTGTGCTGGCACAGCACGGAGGAGATCCTCAATGGGGTCAAGTCTTAGAGATGGGGAAGAGGTGACCCCAGACCCTAGCCCAAGCTCACCGGTGCCCAGGCGTCGGAACTGGAAGCCCTGGAGGGATGTGCTGTAGGGAGCAATGGCTCCACTGGCGATGACCCTGTGCAGCACGTCCTGTATCTGGGCGCCATCTGCATTCCCTTCGGAACCCACGTCCAGCTCCACAAAGACCCAGCCGTCCAGCTCCCTGCCGATGCGGAGGGGCAAGGGGACAGTGAGGAGGACCATGCCTGAGGCAGGCCCTGTTTGTAGACAGCCTATTGCAGCGCAGGGCAGTTAGCAGTCAAGTTCTCCCTGACCCTGAACCCTGAAATTTCCACTGATGGCGTTTCATCCCCTTGGGCCTTGCTTGCTTCCCCTCGGTGCCAGGCTTCCAGCCCATCACCCCCAAGAAATCCCTTCTCACTTGATGAACACCACGCTGACCACCTGGTCCCCAGGAATCTTTGAGTATTCCAGCTCCAGCTGTGGGGGAGGGGGGGAGAAATACAGCACCATCAGCCTCAGACTCCTTCCCACTACCTCACGCCCTGCCCAGCTACACTGAGGGTGCTCCCCAGAGCCTCCTCACTCACCTTGTCCACCACAGCGTCAGACACCTCCCGGAACTCTTTGGAGCCTGCATCTTCCAGCTGAGGGCTATACTCAATGGAACGGGTGAAATTCACCAGGGCCCGGAAGTACACTGTACAAAAAGAGTGGCGTCATTATAAGGGGTTCAGCCTGTCATTGGGGTGGTGCTCTGGCAGCTGGACCAATGGGTGGATGTGGGAGGATGGGCTGTCATGTGCCTACAGCCCTGCCTGGATTGCAGTGGTTCTTCCACTGTCCAGAGGTCCAGGTTGAGGCCCCAGCTTGAGGACCTGACCCAGAAACCCAATGGTTATGCAGAGAAGAGACTGTGGCAGCTCAGGAGGCTGAAGAAGGAGGGGAGCTTTCACAGGGGGATGGCCTAGCACAGGGATTAACCCACCTGTGACCAGGCTTCCCTAGGCTTCCCCAGGCTTCCTTCTCATCTCAGGACTTTGCTCAGCTGTCACTGCCTCCAAGAAGGCTGCCTGGACTGTTCCTCCTCTGGACACCCCTAGTGTTTCCCCAGCAGGGCACCTTTCATGCCACCCTACACAGCTCTTGCTGGGTTACACATGATTCAGGGCACATCGTGGCAGCACTCAAGGGTTAGTGTGGGTCCTGGTCTCATCTCTCCAACTGTATTTCGTCCTTGGTGTAATGCAGAGCTGAATGACTTCTGCCACAATGGGCTGCCAAGGGAGGAGGTGACACCCCACTCCCACATACCTCCCCTCTGCTCAGACACAGACCTGGCACCACACCAGGGTTGGAGGACTGGCAGCTCCTGCCATCTTCCTCCTTCTACCACCACGTGATGGGACTGATGAGGGCAGAACCTTGGCTGAATCCCAGTGCCTGCACAGTGCCTGGCACAGCAGTTAAGACACTCACAAGCAAGAGCCTGGGTTCAAGTCCTGACTCTGTTGCTGAGTCCAGCTTCTGATTAATGTACAACCTCGGAAGAAGCAGGTGATGGTCCAAGTGTGTGGGTCTTGGTACCCACATGGGAGACCCAGATTGAGTTCTGGACTCCAGGGAACTTGGGAGATGAAATAGCAGATGGGTTTTTTCTCTGCCTTTCAGATAAATAAATTAAGTTAGGGAAAAGTGAAAATGCCTAATGTTGGAGCTGGTGCCGTGGTGTAGCAAGGTAATCTTGCACCTGCGACACCAGCATCTCATACAGCTACTGGTTTGAGTGGCTGCTCCATTTCCGATACAGCTCCCTGCTAATGGCTTGGGAAAGCACTGGAGGACGACCCAAGTCTTTCGGCCCCTGCACCCACGTGAGACCCAGAAGAAGCTCCAGGATCCTTCCTGGCTTTGGACAGGCCAAGCTCTGGCTGTTGGGGCTTTTGGGGAGTGAAGCATGGATGGAAGAGCTTTCTCTTTGTCTTTCTCTCTGTAATTCTTCCTTTCAAATATAAATAAATATTTGAAACAAACAAAAAAGCCCAATGTCTGGAGTAAAACTGTCATTTACAACCCTTGTGGCCTTGGCCAAGGACTGAACTTCTCCAAGTTGCATTTCCTCATTTGCAAAATGAGGCTAAGCTACCACTGCACTGCTGGCATCCCACATCAGAGTGTGAGCTCAACAACTGGGCCCCTGAACCCATGGTGGCAGACCAGGATGAAGTTCCTGGCTCCTGGCTTTTGTTTTGGAGAGTGTATCGGCAGATGGAAGATCTCTGTCTCCCCTTCTCTGCCTTTCAAATATAAATATGCCTTTACAAGAAAGTGAGGCTAATAGTCATGGCCACCCCCAGGGTTGCTGCTGGGATTAAACATGCCTATAAATGGCAAGAGCTGACAACGACGTCTGGGACGCTGCGGGAGTTTCTGGTCAGCCTTCATTACAACTACTGCTCTTTCTAATCACCACAATTGCTGAAGAATGCACCTGGTTGTATTTTCTTCCATCTGAGTGAAACATTCATTCTCCCAACAAATCTATATTGAGGGCCTGTTCTATGCCGGGTATGCTTGCAGGGCAGGGGATACAGCCGTGAACTGCACAAACTGTTTCTACCATCCCCATAGAGGCCACATTGCAGTGTTGAGAGATGACAGATCATGCGTAGGCAGGGCATTCAGGAACTAGGGGGCTGGGGGACAGGGCCTGCTAAGGTACAGGGAGTTGGTTATTCTCTGCTGGGACAGGGGTAGGGAACAGGGAAGACCTGTCTTCCAAAGAGATGTTGGAAGAGAAGGCACCCCAGGGGATGCATTCCAGGCAGTGGTTACAGGAAGTACAAAGGCCCTGAGGCAGAAGTGGGCTCAGCAAGAGCACAGATGGCTGGCACAGAGCAGGGAGTAGTGTTGGCTGTGCTGGCTACTGGGGCCATTGTCTTCCTTTCACTTGTCTCTGTCCATCAGGCCTACAGGTGTACAGGTCCTGAAGTCGGGACCTTCTCTTCCTCTGTTGGTCGGGCTTAGAAGACCCTGGGACACAGTCTGGGGGTGAGGAAGATGTGGCTGAGACTCCTGGGGGAGACAGCCTGCTTGCAAGAGTGGCACTGCTTGCTTGGACCCATGGGGACAGGCCAGTTTGGGAGCTTGGGTGCTGGGCGGGTGGGGCTCTGTGGGCCGGGCTGTGGGGACCAAGGGCTCGGCCACAGAGGCCCCTTGTGAGCCAGCACAGAGGTTCATTGAGAGCCCCCCACCCCGGCCCTTGGCCTCAGCCCACAGCCCAGCGCAGGCGAGGAGGTTGGGCCTCTGCTCAGGAATGTGGCTGCTCTGGGGGAGAGGGCCAGAGGGCCACAAAGCCCCTTTCTAGTAGGCCCTGGGAAGGGCGTGGGCCCTCTTGCTGGACCCCACCCTTCTCTGCTCATTGACCAGGGGCAGGTCAGGCAAGTGCCCTCCCCTCCCACCTCGAGTTGCCTCCCACGACTGGGCCGAAGGTGAACCGAGTCCACCTTGGAGCCGAGGTCTGGGCTGTGAGCAGTTCCCTAGTGCTGGCCCTGGCCAACCCTCCCTGGCCCCTATCTGAAGAACCTCCTGTGGGACAAAGGCTGGGAGGGGACCCAGAGTCATTATGCACTATAGGTGTTGGCGGGGACACCTACCTGATCACCCAGGGCCTCTCATCAGCTTCCTCCCAACACTACAGTCCTGGGTCCTGCCATGTGAGGATTTAAGTTGCCTCTGAACTCTAGAGCCTTATTCCTGAAGTGCTACTGGATCCTTTGATGCCCTGGCAGCAACCAGGAAGAACGGGAGGGCTAAAAGCTGCTGTGCCCACATCCCTGCACCCAGAAGGGGCCTGGCTGAGTTCTGGGCAGGGGCAGAGCCTGGCCCCAGGCTTGGCAGGGAGATGCCTCTATGTGTCCTGTGTGGCTCGTGGCCAAGCACAGCTTGCGGAGAAGCAGATCAGGGAGGAGGGGAGAGAAGGCCTGGGAGAGGATAGGGAGTGAGGTGGAGGCAAGGGATTCTCTTAGGCAGTCAGGGCCTTGCCCACTGATCCTGAGCAGAGCGGATGTGGCGTGGAGATCGGAGCCCACCTGATCCTCCCACTCCTGGGCCCAACCAGCTCCCAGGCATGTTGTAGCCCTGCAGAGATTGGAGGTCATGCTCAGATCCAGGCTATTCTGGCACCAGCCCTCCTTGGCTGCACTGGCCCATTAAGGATGCCACCCCTGGACATGTGGATGCCTGGACACATCAACTGTGTCCCCGTAGAGGGGCCAGGCCATGCTGTGCAGCTGTCCAGTAGTTGGACCGGATCCAGTCCATCTAGTCCCTGCTTTGTCCTTGGCCCTGATGACACAGTGTTCCAGGCACCAGCTCACGAAGCGGGCAATGAGGACAACAGGCACAGCTAGACTTTCACTTCCTTCTTTACCCAGACTCTTGGTCAGGGCCTGACTCCCTTCTTTCCCCAAGCTGGGACCCACCCTAAAGCAAGGTTCTCTCCTAAGTCCACAGGGAAGTTTCTGTGGCCTCTGGCCAGCTCCTTGGGTCTGCCTGATTACTCAGTTCCACAGGGGACCTCTGCTTTGCCGCCCTCTCCCAGGGTTCCCTGGCTGTGCAGCAGCCACACCAAATAAGGTTCCAGGGAGGCAGACACAGCTGAGCAGATGGGGAAGCAGGAAAGTTTCTTTTGTTTTTATTGGAAAGCCAGATCTACAGAGAAGCAGAGGCAGAAAGATCTTTCATTTGCTGGTTTACTACCCAAATGGCTGCAACAGCTGGAGCTGTGCTGATCTGAAGCCAGGAGCCAGGAGCCTCTTCTAGGTCTCCCACAAGGGTTCAGAGTTTCCAGGCATTGGACCATCTTCTGCTGCCTTCCCAGGCCACAAGGGTGGAATTGGATGGGAAGTGGAGCAGTTGGGACATGAACCAGCACCCACATGGGATTCCCACCACTTGAAGGTGGAGGATTAGCTAATTGAGCCACTGTGTCAGGCCCAAGGTATGAGGTTTGCTCAGAAAGTAGGGTTGGGCCTGGTGCAATGGCTCAACTGGCTAATTTTTCCTTTGTAAGTGCTGGGATCCCATATGGGCATCAGTGAGTGTTCCAGCTGTGCCACTTTCTGTCCAGCTCCCTATTTATGGACTAGAAAAGCAATGGAGGATAGCTCAAAGCCTTGGGACCCTACACATTCACATGGGACACCTAGAGGAGGCTCCTGACTTCATATTGGCTCACCTCCGGCCATTGTGGCTATTCAGGGAATGAATCAGCAGATGGAAGATCTTTCTGTGTCTCTCCTTCTCTCTGCAAAATGTGCCTTTCCAATAAAAATAAATAAATCTTAAAAATAAAAGTAGGGTGACTACTTTTGGTTTTCTCCACTATCCTGAGCCCTTCCTTGGCCCTGCTGACTGTCCCACACACTTGTCACTCATCAGGCAAAACAGCAGCCCCACTTCTTGTAGGACAACAGCCAAGAAGGTGAGGGGGTCTCTGTGGTTGGGAGGGGAATATGACAGTGCCCTCAGTGACTTACCCATCTGGAAATCCCCGCTGCCCAGCTCCCCACTGCCCAGGCCATCTACAAGAAAAAAGGAAACATAGTCAGCAATAATGCAAAGGTAGGTAGTGGGGTGGGACCAGGGAAATAGACTGGTGCCCCTCCTCCACCCTGGGGGCACTGGCCTGGAGCTTTCCTCTGAGACTGGGGGCCAGGTCAGGTTGGTTTCCAGGTTGGACAAGGAGGGGGAGTCTCCCCATCCTGTCCTTGTCTGTCCGCTTCACTGTCAGGCCTGATTGTCCAAGGTCATCCAGGTTAGGTGGAGGTGGCCAGGGCTCCAGGCTTAGAACTCAACCCAACACTTGAGACCCACCTGGGCTGAACTTCAGGGGCCTCGTGAAGGGCAGGTGGGAGGAACCACAGCTCCCTCCCACTCCACTCCCAGCCACAGACCCAGAGCCAGGCTCACCTCCGGAGGCATCGTCAGCCAGCAGGTCCTCATCATCTGACAGGAAGGAATAGCTCCAGCCGGCTCGGCCCTCTGTGACAGTCTCCGTATCTTCGGGGAGAGACAAGCCCTCGTAGGCCCTTAACCCGTGGACCACCTGTGGTAACAGCATGGCTTGAGTCCCATGTCTGAGTGCCAGCACCCAGGGCCCTGTGCCCAAACCTCCCCCAAAGGTTCAATAAGACACAACATGGCCAACAGAGCCAGGCAGGTCATGAGCCACTGTCTCTGACTCAGTTTCCCTAGCTCCCGTTTTAGCTCCTGGAGGCCTCGGAGCCCACAGCTCAGGTCAATCTTCACGTGAAGCAGCCCCAATAAAATCACAAGTAAATGATAACTCCTCTCCTTCAGGGAATGCAAGCAGTGTTCCGGACCCGAGTGGATACATCAGAGGAGACAGGTAGGTAAAGGTGGGCTTGGTCAGCAAAGATAATGGCCTGGGAGGTAGACCATGGCCTGGGTGTGCTGCTGGTGGTGGTGAGGCAGAGAAGTGGTCATGTGAATGGACTGGAGTAGTTCTGCCCCAGGTCATGACAGCCACTTCTTCCTGCCTTTGTAAGCACAAAGAATGCATCCCATCAAGCTGGAGACCCAGCTCTGGAACGTCTGCCTGGCTGCTGATCAGGGATGGAGTTGAGCAGCTGGGCTGAATGGGGAAGGACGGGCATGTTGCGATGCCTCATGACCTCAGGTTCACGCTGAGCCCAGCACAAGCTCCACCCTGAGCTCTTGTCCTGTAGAGGGGCTGGTAAGGCCATGCACATGAGCCAGAGCAGAAGGGCTCCAATGGTTGCTGCACCTGCCTTGCTCATGTGTGCACAGAGGCCATGCATGCCTCTTTCCCCTTAAATGAGGTGGTGAGGTTTCCAAAAACAGTTTTACCAGGGAATGTAGAAGAAACCAACTCTCGGAGCCCCAAGCCAGTGGGCAGATTCACCATGGCCTGGCACGAGGGTCTCAGGCAGGGTCCTTCCTATCTGGACAGAAGGAAACTGTACCTTCTGTACTGCAAAAAACTAAACCCTTTAGCCAGACGTGATGGTGAGATGCAAGCAGGAGCAAGGCCCAAGGATGAGGAGAGCAAAAGAGATGGCCGGTGTACCCCCAAGTGCACCCAGTCCGTGTTCCCATGCCGTTGGCCCTTTCTCACACTGGTCTCTGCTGGAAGGCCTGTCCTCCCTTTACTGGACTCACTCCAGTTCTTCCTCTCACAGCTCAACCATCTCCTCCGCTGGCTGCCCTGTGATAGGAATGCATGTCTGATATGCGTGGCAGCAGGATGGCTGTCAGGTGAGAGAAGCCAGACCGCAAGGCTCCCTGCTGTGGGAGGGGAGAAGCCTCAGTCACAGGGGCAGAAAATCAGTAGCTGCCTGGAGGTGACTGGGCAGGGCACAGGGGATCTTATGGAGTGATGATTCTTGGGCACATCCATCTCCTTGTTATTGAATTGTATGTTTCAAACAGATACACTGAGGCAGGTACTGAGCACAAGGGCTTCAGTGCATCCTGGAGTGGAGTACCTAAGTTCATCTATGCTTCATTTCCAATTCCAGCTTCCTATTTTTGCACATCCTAGGAGGCAGTGGTGATAGCTCAAGCTGTTCAGACCTGGGAGTAGTGGCTAAAACCTTTGCCTGTGATGCCAGCATCCTATATGGGTGCTGGTTCACGTCCTGGCTGCTTCACTTCCCATTCAACTCCCTACTGACAGCCTGGGCAAAGCAGCAGAAGATGGCTTAAGTGTTTGGGGTCCTGCATCCATATGGGAGACCAGGAAAAACCCCTAACTGAAGTCTGGCCCAGCCTTGATTGTAGTAGTTATGTGGGGAGTGAACCAGTGGATGGAAGATTTCTCTTTTCTTTCCCTGTAATTCTGACTTTCAAATTAATAAATAAATCTTTTAAAAAAAAAAATAGTTGGGTCTCTTCTCCCCACGTGGGTGACCAGGCTTGAGTTCCAGTCTCCTGGTTTTGGCCTCGCCTGCCCCCAGCTGTTTGTCAGCATTTGTGGAGTGAGCCAGCAGACGGAAGATTTCTCTCTGGCTCTTTCTGCCTTTCTAAATACATGAAAAATAAATAAATAAGTATGTTAAAAGGGTTCTTTTCATGGTGTGTAACTTATACCTCCCCAGGGATGGTTAAGAGGAAACTTTCCTCTGGGGGACTTTGTCCTGAGTCACTGGCCTGTAGTCACCCCTTCTCCCAACCTGCACTGGGGTCACACTGTAACTTGTCTGTGTCTCCACAGGGGCCGTGCGCAGTTCCTCCAGCCCTTCTGAGCACCGGGTTCTGTGTGTGCATAAATGAATGGATAAAGATGCCATCGCCTGTAAATGCTGGCTGCTGGATATTTCCTGAAGGTGCCTCATCCTTGGGCACCACCCACACTCACGTAGTCTATCCCCTCCTTAGGCTGTGAGCTCACGGGCAGCAGGGGTGGGGTGCCAATGTGGTCACCTTTGGGAGTCTGCAGAGCTGACCAGCTTTGGGTGAGGGATACATTGTTCACTGCTGATTCCTTGCAGTGGCTCTGCAGGCTCCTTCTACCCCATTCTACAGGCAATGCTACTTTCTCTTCCTCTCCACTCCCCATGCTCTCCCCCTGCACAACTGCCCACCCTATCCTAGTGCTGACCCGCAGACTGCTGGGCTGTGTCCATGGGATTTGTGTCCAGGAGTTGGCTTTAGACCCTCCTGGAGCTGGTGAGAAATGCAGATTCCTGGGCCCCTTTCAGAGCCATTGAATTAGGCTCTCCCGCCTACACCCTCCCCCCACCCCCCGTCACAGCCATTGGATTCTCCTAGCCACTGAGTAAGAACCACAACACCAGGGGTTGTGCCTTGCTCCCTGGCAAGGGGTAGAGGGTGGTGCCTGATTGGCTCAAGGGGTGTATGAGGTTAGAGCTGGCACTGGAGCACTGATTCTGGGCAGAGGGGGTTTGGAGATAGGCCTGGGTCCTCTCCACCTGTGCCACTGCCACATCTTCTTTTTAGGGAAACAAGGCAGAGGAGGGCAAACTTGGGGCAGAGTTTCCTGGCACCCCCAGATATCACTGTCTGGGAAGGAAAAGCCTGATGGTGAGCAAGGTCTAGAACTTTTCCCAGGGAGGAAAGAGTGGGGCGGGGGTGAGGGAAGGGAGTATAGTGTTGGGACCAGACAGGAAATAGCAAAGTGAGATTCAACATGGAAAAAATGCCAGAAACACACATCTGCAGTGAGAGGAAAAGGAGAGTCCAGAGCACGGGGGCCTGGACAACGTCCCCTGAATCCTGGGGAGCCCAGTGAGGCGGCCACCCCGTGCAGCCCGTCCTTGCGTGCAGCCCCCTCCCTAGGGACTTGAGGGCCCAGGTTCTGATCAGGGTCCTGCAGCCAGAGACACAGCAGCAAGAGCAGACTTCATTTGGAAAACGCTGAAGATCAAAAGCTTCCAACAGCTGCATTTCTCATCTGGGAGGGAAGACGAGCTCAGACAGGAAGGAGGTCCCGGAGAGAGCTGAAAGGAGCTCAAGATGTGACCATAGAAGGGAACCAGGATTCAGACTGGCACAGCCCAGGATCCACCTGGGGAGTAGGAAGAGTAACGTTTACTGAGCACTTACTCTGCGCTGGGAGCTCTGAAACCAGGAGAGGTGCTCAGTGACCCCAATGTGCAGAGGCGGGTGGGGTAGGAAGTGTGGTTGGGATCTGAATCCCAGATCTGGCCCCAGTGCCCTGGCTCTGATCATTTGGCTCCACGGCCTCTGGCCAGGGCTACGGAATGAGCTGGCACGAAAGCCACTGGCCAGCCCTCTCTAAACCTCTTAGCCACACTGAGCAGCTCCCCAACTTCAGTGATAGACAGGACCCTGTGAGGTGGTGGAGCAGGTGTGAACGGCCCCCTTCACTGAGGTCCAGGGACAAGCAACTTGCGCAGATTGCAGGTAAGCAGTTGCCACCCCACCAGAGCCCTTTGTTCACTGGGAAAGGAGCAGGGCTGGAGCTGGACCTCCAAGCTGGCCAGGAGGCCCAGGCAAAGGGCTGTACCAAGAAGCCCAAGGCTGGCCAGTCCCCACTCCTGACCAGCTCCAAGGCTGGCAGCAGGCCGAGCCCAGATAACATGTGCCTCAAGTACCAAGCATGGGCCATCAGTGGCCACACAGTTGAAAGCAGAAATACAGCCCAGGCTTCCTGCTCTTCTAGCCTTTCTCTGGCTGCAAAGGAGCTCGGTTTCCTCCCAAAGGAACCCAGTGCTTCAAGCAGGCGTCGGGCCGGATGGCGGGGCCAGAGAGGAGGGGGCTGAGCTGAGGGGTATTTTCCAATCCTTGTAGGTGAGTCATCCAGGCCAAGGCCAGAGGTCTGTTCTAACTTGCTGGAAACAATTGCTAGGGGCTGGGATGTAGGCAGGATAGGTCTCCCCCACCCTGCCTGCTCCCTGCATGCAGGCCCTCCCTGAACAGGCCAGACAGGGAGCCAGAGGGGGTTTTGGGGAGGCACCCACTCCCAGAGGCTGGGCGTGTCTATGCCCTCCTGGTGAGAACGAGAGCGCAGGTGGAACTCTGGGCCCTGGACAGAGCTTGGCCTGAGCAAGGCCACAGGCCAAGTCAGGCTGGCTTGGAAAGGCCTCAGGCAGACAGAAAGTGAGGTGTTAGTGAGGGTCTGGAGCAGGAGCGATTTGGCTTTCTGAGCAGTTTTAAAATGAGGATCGTGGGCCTTGTCAAGGCCACGCGTGGAGTAGGCAAAAGAACAGGAGGAAGGAAGCAAGGTGCTGAGGTGACAGGAAGAGTCAACTCAGGCTTTCTCCGTGCAGGCACACCCATTGCCTAGGCCATCTCAACAGCTCTTCTCAGCAGCCTGGGCAGGGATGGCCCCACAGAGACCCCAGCCCTCAATTGTCAGAAGGCTAATCCCACAAGGGGCGGGGCTTCATGATGCTGCTCCCAGTCCTAGCAGGCGCACAACTAATGGTCAGCACCCAGGGAGGGGCCACATGTGTCCCTGCAACAGTGCTCACAAGTGCTGACCCAACACGGCTGGCACACACTACAGGTTACCTTTCTCCAACTGCATAACATCTCAATTCCACCTGCCCCTAACACTTCCAGGGTCCAGACACTGGGTCCATTTTATAGATG